GATCGAAAACACGAACTTGAAAGGAGGGCAGGTTTTGAGATTGTACCAAAGGTTAAATATCTAGGAGTTCAGGTTGCAGAATCAAATATGAAACTGTTTCAAAATAATTATGAGGCGTTGTGGCGAGATGTACAGAAAGATATGGAGACTTGGAAAAAACTGCAGCTGTCTTTACTTGGAAGAATAGCAGCAGTTAAGATGAACATTTTGCCAAGATTTCTTTTTTTGTTTCAAATGATTCCGGTGCTTAAAAGTGATAAACAACTGAAAGAATGGCAAAGTGGAGTGAATAAGTTTGTCTGGAACGAGAAAAAACCGAGAGTGAAATTGAAAATTATGTAAGATGTTCCAGAAAGGGGAGGTCTTAAACTTCCAAACCTACAGTTATATTATGAAGCAGCAGCTCTGACTCAAGCAAGCGATTGGTTTGGAAGGAAAAAGACTGGAATATTGAATATAGAAAGTTTTGATCTTGAATTTGGATGGCATGCTTACTTATTTTATGAAAACAAAGTGGATAAAGTATTTACAAGCCATATACTTAGAGACTCTTTGATAAGAGTTTGGAAGAAGCACCGACTCAAATGGGATTACAAAATACCGCTATGGCTGGATCTTGGTCATATTATGTGGAATACAAATATAATGTCACTCGGGGGGTTTTTTATACAAAGAGGTTCTTTTCACAGATGCGGGCAGATGGCAACTGAAGACATTAGAGACACTGTTGGACGAAGGGATTAATTTAACTTGATTACAGTATAATCAACTTCAATTGAGATGGAAAGAGGACCAAAAAATTGGTATTATGTTGCATGAGGAAGAAATGGTTAGACATATAAAAGAGAAAGGTCCAATGCATATTAAAAGGCTTTACAATGTTTTGTTAGAAAGGGATTCAGAAACTGAATTGGTCAAAGATTGTATGATTAAGTGGGCACAAAATTTTGCAGAACCAGTGATGTTGGAAACATGGGAAAAAATTTGGGTCCAGAATGTTAAATTCACACAGTCGCAGAATTTGAGGGAAAATTTTTATAAAATGTTTTATAGATGGCATTTAGATCCTAAGAAATTATCGTGTATGTACCCTAATGTTCAGCCAAAATGTTGGAGATGTGACTGTTTAGATGCTACATATTATCATGTTTGGTGGACTTGTAAGAAAGTTAAGGCTTTTTGGATAAAAATTTGGTGGGTCATGCAGAATGTTTTGAAGAAAAAAATTCAATTTTCTCCACAATTGTTTTTATTGGGTATAGTTAAGGGTTATACATTGGATGAAACAAAGTTGAAATTGTATATGATAACAGCAGCGAGATTATTGATAGGTAAATATTGGAAAAATGAAATTTTGCCCACTATCGAGGAATGGACTTTGAAGATGGCCAGCTTTGCAGAGATGGCGAAGATTTCAGCATATCTAAAAGACCGCTCACAAGAGACTTATGAATGGGAATGGAAAAAGTGGATAGATTATGTGCAGAACAAATATCAAATTAGGAAGTATCAAATAGCTTTTCAATGACAGTATTATATTAAGATAGAAATATTTGAATTTTGTGAAGATGAAAAATTATATGGGGGATGGAGGGGTTCAAGTTTTATATAAAGGGGATTTTGATGGGAGTACATTCTATGGAAGTCCGGGGGGGAGGAGAGGGTTAGGGGGGGTTGGGAGGGTTAGGTTGGGGAGCTTGGGGTGGGGCTGGGGGTGGGAAAATGGGGTGAAAATGTAATTGTAAAACTTTTGCAATTAAAAAAAAAAACAGAAAACAAAGCAACCAGAAGAGGAAGCATGTTCTTTAAAATGCTTAAGATGCATTTTTAAAATGCAAAACTCTGCCTATAGCATGGAGAAGGAAATACCTCCCGTACTGGAGAAAATGTAAATGCACTTAACAGGCATCAGATCCAGAACAGAATGATTCCTACTAACATGAAATTTGTTCTCTTACTTGCTTAACTTCAAAAGTGAGTTAGACAAAGATCCAAACACAATACTATAGCTACAATACATGACAGCTACATGAAACAGCCATGTTCACAAGTAAACTGTTGGGAAAGACTGTGAACTGGGCACTAGGGGAGCTGTAGTCTACCATATTTTGAAGGCACCAAAGTAGGAAAAATTAAAATAAGGCAGCCCCGTTTGCTGCTTTCCTTTTCATATCTCATACATAGTGGCTCTCTCTTCTGCCTTGATGGAATAATTTCTACATCCTGAAATCACTGACAATCCAAAAAAATGCAGAAAAAGTGTACATTTTCTCTAGAAATCTCAAGGAATTCCAAAATAAAGAAATTAAAATTGATTATTGGAAAGAACAATTACTGTTAATAACATATATTTAATCTTTGGTCGGAAGAGAGAAGAATAAAAGAGGCAGTAAATATTCATTAAGTTACAAAACCCAGGCAGTTTTGATGATCTCCCAACCCCATTCTTTCCCAGCTGGGGAGCCTTCAGATGCCAAAGATTCCATCTCTTACTTTCCTTAAGAGAGTTGGAAGATATTGTGTTGGGAAAAACTAGTGAAAAGTAGTATGAACTTGTGCAATATGTTTGATATAATACTATTCTGTGATAATATTGTTAGTGTAGGCTTAATTTGTTGCCTTGCAAATTCATTCATTATAATACTTACTCCTAAAAATGAAATATTTTAAAACTTTTCCTTAAAACAATTTTTTTTTAAAAAAACCTTTCAAAATTCAGCCTGCTCCACCCTCTCAACTCTTATCATCCATCAGCTAGTCATGATTATATAGCAAATTAGTTTTACGTGACTTAGTGAAGGTTGAGCACACATGAAACACAACTAAGTCCACAAAAATGAAGTAGACTAACTATGCAGTCTGGATGTACAATTACACTTCTAAGTCAACGTTGCAGAAGTGATTCCCAGCTGTCATACAAGAAATGATTGAGGATTCTAAAACATTTCTAACTTGAAGATTTAATGAAAATAATTTCTTATGTTCTTCTAGCAGTTTTTTTTTTTTTTTTACATTTTTCATTGTCCATTACCTAAGTATCACAGCTGTTGCCTCATTCCATTATGTTCCAAATTTGCATGAAACAAAGCTAAGTCATGTACTGTGAGACAGGAGTTTCCAACCTTGGCAACTTTTAAGACTTGTGGACTGCAACTCCCAGAGTTCCTTAGCCAGCTTTGCTGCAAACCTGGCTGAGGAACTCTGGGAGTTGAAGTCCACAAGTCTTAAAGTTGCCAAGGTTGGAGATCCCTGCTCTAAGAGACTTAGAGACCACAGAACCCTGAAGGTCACTGACAAAACTGACTCTAGGTAAGATAGCCACTGAGAGAATATATAATTCTCTCAAACAACCTGAACACAAGGAGAAAGAAGCTCTCTTACTTTCTAACTTCCTCTCTTTTCTTGAAACTGAAATTGCAAGGAGGAATTTTGGAAGCAAAGGCATTTTAGGCTGGTAGTGTACAGGTAGTCTGTGAGTTACAACCACAATTGAGCCCAAAATTTATATTGCTAAGTGAAACATTTGTTAAATGAGTTTTGCCCCATTTTATGACCTCTTTTGCCACAATTGTTAATTGAATCACTATAGGTGTTAAGTTAGTAACATGGTTGTTAAGAGAACTTTAACCCATTGACTTTGCTGGTCAGAAGGTCACAAAAGGGGACCACATGACCCCAGGACACTACAGCGATCATAAATGTGACTCAGTTGTCAAGCATCTGAATGTAAATCATGTGACCATGGGGATGCTGCAACAGTCATGTGTGTGAAAAATGGTTATAAGTCACTTTTTTCAGTGCCGCTGTAACTTTGAATGAACTGCTGCAAGTCAAGGAGTAGCCGTACTTCTCTTTTACCTAATGTATTTCCAAATCAGGCCAGGCTAAAAGTAAAGGAGGCAAACAAGAAATAATGTTCATATATACTATAGCTGGAACATATTTTGGACAGGTGAATAAGTGTGTGGAAACCTGAGGAAAAACTCGGGTTCAAATTTTCCGTTAGCCATAAAGGTTGTGTATTATTTTAAACCTCATATCTTCATCAAAATTACAAGGTTGTTATGAAAACATAGGGGAGTGAGAGAACATATATTTCACCTTGGGGTTCTGAAAGAAAAATAGCAAATGCAATAATAATAGTTACTTAACCTTTTTAATTAAATTGACTAATAATGCATCTGTGCTTATCATTTTTCAGCAGTGGACAGCCATGTAACTCTGGGGAATTAATACGGAAGTAATACAGAAGCCTGGGGTTTTTGAAGAGCATCTGTTTTATCAATGATATGCCATACTATCTCTGAATACACACATTCAACTAAAAACTGTATTGATTAATAACCCCTGACAGGCTGTTCTAATCTATATTCAAAGCTATCAAAAGGTAGCAATTACTATCAAAACACATTGTAATAATGGATTTATAGCATGAAGCAGCATTTCTTTCCACCTCTGAATAGTCTATCAGTCCATTTCATTTTATTCTCCATTTGTATTACACATTCTAATGTGCTCCGTTCTCATAAATCATCATTTATGAGAACGGAGCACATTAGAATGTGTAATACAAATGGAGAATAAAATGAAATGGACTGATAGACTATTCAGAGGTGGAAAGAAATGCTGCTTTAAAACTTAACTTGCACTATCAAATTTGCTGGAGGTTCACTGATATAAATTCTTTCATTTCAATCAAAAATAAAATCCTCTTGGTTCCTTCCCAAGTATTTGGCACTAGTATAACTTGTCTTCCATACCAAATATTGGCCTAAATTCATCCTTATCGGAGCGGGTTCCTTCTCCTCCTGGATACACACCTGTCTTTTGTGAGTTCCTTTCCGAGATCAGCTCTCAGAACTGAAAGAACAACCTCCAGCCAACAGGAAACGGGAGTTGAGACACACTGTCCACACACGCATTATAGAAAGTCAATTCCTTTTCTCAGCCTCCACTCTCTCCTGTTCATACCTTGACCTGCCAATGGCAGTTTTACTTACCTGGATAGCGTAAGGGAAATTTCGGTCTTCCAGGCCGCAGAAAGGTTGGGGCTCACACCAACAGCCACACCACCACTGGAGCCCCCCTCCTCCCTCCCCCCAGGGTCCCTGGTAAGCGTTTCAGCCTCCCCACTTCCCCCAGCCAGGGGGCATAGCCGGCGCCCTCCTTTAAAAACCGGGGGAATCTTGGGCAGACCAGGAGAAGTAAGTAAGCTTCGTTTTCAAACAGAGACGGAACCGGGCACAGAGAGAGAGAAAAAAAAAAAAAGCAGAAACGTCAGGTGAAAGTCGGGAGCGGAGCCACAGACCTGCTCCTCGGAGGGAAGGAGAAACCGAAAAGAATGGGAGCCTCTGGGAGAGAAGCCAGCACGGACTGGGTTCAAAGGTCACAAAGGCAAGGAGGTCAGGGAGGCCAGTTCTCCAGGGGAAAAGGCTTCGCAGGGTCAGGAGTCACGGGCGGGGGGGGGCAGAATGGAGGAGAGCAGCCAGTTCAAGCTTCGTCCCCGTGGAAAACCTCGGCCAGACCCCAGTCTGAAGACACCCCCCACCCCCACCACCCCACCTCGGGCTCTCTTCCCCGTCTCCCAGGCAATGCAGAGAAATCTGAGCCAAGGGAGGGCCGCTCTACCGCACCAGGACTCTATGGCCCTTCCGAAGGCTTTCGGCCCCTCTCAAGCCCGCGGGGTAGATGCGGCACTAGCGGCGGCGGCAGCAGCAGCAGCGTCGCCGGGAGGACGGCCCGCACAAATCGGAAGCGGAAGCCGACTTGGCCTCAGCTTCCGCCTCCAGGGGGGTGCCCATTTCCGCCCTCATCTTTCTCCATGTTGAGAGGCCGGTACTTCCCGCATCGGAGAGACAATTGGACGGAGCCAAAATGAGCTGAGACCAAACGAAACGAAACGAAACGAAACCACAAAGGGAGGGAACAAAATGCAAAGGGTAGAATTTGGTAATATAGATTTTTAAAAAAAATAAACGTTTCACGTTTAATTTACATATGAAGAAATGAAAAGTAAGATTTTTATGCGCAAATTAAACGTTTCACGTTAAATTGCGCATAAAAATCTTACTTTTCATTTCTTCATATGTAAGCATTCTGGTTGGCGGGGGGGGAACCCCTATTTTTAACCACCACCACCCAAGAATCTCAGAAATAGCAACACTTTTACTTCACTACAATCGAAACAAGAATCAAACACTAAAACATTAATTTCAGTAGTTTCCTCCACGGCAAACCTTGCCAAATGTTTAATAAACGAAAATGGCATTGTGCGAATTTGCAAGAAGTCAGAAAGCATAGCTACTTGCAATGAAGGGTCGCTCCAGTAAGAGTGGTAGTTGTTCCTGTGGTTGTACTGCACTTCTTCCCAAACCCCAATTTATTAAGATTGGTACCTGCTTGCTCAAGTGGCGAGCCCCACCCCAGGGGAACACCAATCAGAAATGTGGCCTGCGATGAACAGTAGCCAATCCCAAATCACCTAAATTTTAAAGGAACAGCACTAGAATTTTCTGCATGATATTGATATAAAGGTAAGTTTGAGACTGGTTCCATGAGGAAAAAAATAAACCATGTCTTGACTCCCATCTTCTGCCTGTACCTATAAATGCAATATTTTGATAAAGGCAAGAGACTATTTCAAATCATAACTCTGAATCTTTTATTTTTATCTTACAGATTCAGCAAATTTTCCATTAAATGTAAAGAAAACTCAGTTTATTGTTAACATTAGTTTGTACCCAACCCATAAGAGTCACCCCATTTGGCATGTTAAATGGTAGCATACAATCCCCCCCACCCCCAAATCCAACAGTCTGATTGACTACAAAAATATGTTTATTGAAGCCGGAGAACACTGGTTGAATAGAAGTTTTCCTGTTGTGTATGAAATTCTACAAACTAGGCACATACAAAAGAATGATATAGCTGGAGTGATTATAAAGGATCTTGTTAAGCATATATACATAGAAAACAATACAATGGAATTCTCTGCTTTAGATATTTTGTTAAAAGCTCAGAGCCCTATCTAAAAATACTAATTTTTTGAGAAATCTAAAGCAAATAAAAGATCAAGCAACATTATTAATCATCTCCCATTCCAGCTAAATACTGAAGGTACAATCCTAACAAGTAACAAACCCACAATAATTAAACCCATTCACTGAAAAGGGATAGATACTGATGTCAGGGAGATGAATGTCAACATCATACATTTAAGGTTTGTTAAAAGGGAAGGCGTGTTGTGAAAACCTGCCGAGATAAAGCTTCCCTTGGATAGAAATTCCAAACCACAGCCACAGAGAAGATCCTTTTCAGTAATTCCTGATATTTGTGTAAGATATACTTATTTGTCCCTAGGGTTTCTTTAAAGTCATTGGCCAGTATAAATTTTGTGCTTCTAGGCTATAGCAATTGTAGCTTTAATCTTGGCTACCTATCTGTTAGACATAGTGATTAACATTAGTCCAGAAGATTAGATTTTTCTTTTATTTCTGTTTCACATTGGTGTGCCTGCAAGGATAACATTTGGGGAGACATTTTTCCTATTCTGATCTTCTTAAACGGCAGAATAAAAAATAATGTAATAAAATATATTTAAGAAAAACAAGAAAGAAAAGAAAATGCATGTTAAAATTCCATTGCTTTAGAGATATTTAATAGCTTAAATGTGCTGTTACTTTAGCAGTTACAGGCCTTAAAAGGTAAGCATTTCCCATTACTTTGTTACTGTGCAGCAAGAAATATATTTGCCCATCTATAATTCTCAGCTGATCAACTTGTCTAGCTTTCCTATTTGAAACTGTTATGTTCTTCAAGAAAACTTTTTCTCCTTAAAATTGTAGTAAGAGTATCTGTCTATACTAATCTACTCCTAATTTTAAGCAATTACCTACAATATACTATTTGTGGATGTACTTGTAATATATATTAGAAAATAAATTTATATGATTATATAAAGTCTATCCAGTAACAGATCTAAGTAGCTTGCCTTATAGTAATACCAGATGTTAGAGTATAAAATTAAGAAGCTATGGAAGCTATTTTCCTGTTTTCCCATTTCTAGGTTCACAGAAGCAAAGCCAAACTCAGTAAAGACACTTTGAAATAATCATAGCAACATGAAATTCCCCATTAAGGTAAATTTAATATCTAATATTAATATGAGCACACATTTAATCAGGCTGACTAAATTCAGTAGTTCATTAATTTTAAAGATTGCAAATACTGAGAAAGGTCAACTAAGTTTTTAATTAGTTATATTAGTTACTAGTTACTTCATATGTAAGCATTGGTATTTTGGAGGCAGAGTAATTGCAAATGTTTGCATCAGTCCCTGTTGGGAATTTTCAAGGATCATGCTGCAGTTGTACACATTCCAATACATTACTAAGCTCCACTGAGCATTATAACCTTTAATTTACTATTCTATTTAAGTTTTGTGAACAAGCTCTAAGCTCAATTTTTTTTTAGCCGAGGCAACAGTTTTAGAAAAGCTTTACATAAACTATAGTGGCATGTTGCTAAATAAATCAGAATTCAGTAATAACCACAAATTCTGCAGCAAATATAGTTTAATCCTTGCAACCTGATTATGTAGCAGATCATGCTAATTTCATTATTTCTATTGTTAGTCATTGATATGGGCCACCGTTATATTAGGCAGTGAAGTATTGCCATAGAAATGTTGGAAGGCTTATTCAGCAATTCCTCAGGATAAAGTTGTTAGCATGAATTGACCAGTTTTAAGTATGTACCTGTACCTCTTAAGGGGAAGAAAGTTTTGTGGAAAGGAGTTGAATGAAAATCAAGACTTTTGGAAAGTTTATAGATCCAGAGTACCATGTACTGGAATTTCATTCTGCTCAAGGTTACCAAAAGCTCAGCTTCCTGCACTTTAAACCATTGGAACTGATGCTTGTGCAACATTTTCTACAAATATACTGCTCAAAAAAATAAAGGGAACACAAGCAGAAGACATCCGAGATCTGAATGAATGAAATAGTCTTATTAAATACTTTGTTCTTTACATACAGTAGTTTATACACGGCTCAAACTACTAAAGGGAACACAAAACTACTGTATGTAACGAACAAAGTATTTAATAAGGCTATTTCATTCATTCAGATCTCGGATGTCTTCTGCTTGTGTTCCCTTTATTTTTTTGAGCAGTGTACAACACTGCATTAAGGAATACAAGCTATTTGCACCCAAATATAGTTCCACAAAAACAGCATCTGAGAAATCTGTAGTCACAGATTTGTCAATGTCTACATTACAGCAGTGTGCAGAATTCTTCTAGTAGAACTCAAAGATGGTAGATAGCCTAAGTAAAAATAGTAACTTCCATCTTCTGTTCTTAAGATTCAACCAGCATTACACTTATACAGGTAGTTCTCCTTTAATGATCATTTGTTCAGCGACCAAAGTTGCGCATGATACTTACAACTGATTCGCATAATTGCAACCCTCAAAGCATCCCCACAATCTTGTGATCATGATCCAGGTGCTTGGTGCCTATCTTGCAATTATGACATTGCAACATCCTATGGTAACATGATTGCTATTTGCAATCTTCACTGCCAGCTTCTGACAAAGACAATGGGGAACCCAGCAGGAAGTTGCAAATGGTGATCACTTGATGTTGCACTTAATGCCAGCTAACAGAAGTGACAGAACTAAGTGGCAGTCATGTGACTGCATTTATGGCATTTAGCGACAAATTCTGATCCCACTAACCATCATTAAGCATTACCTATAGATTACTGATAGGTTTTGATACTGTTAGCATCTTTGTTGAAAAATTTCCCTTTGAAAAACATGTTAAACTTAGTTTTCTTAGTTTATCCCAAAGGTGCTTTTTCAGGAGGCAACTGAACTTTCTTGTTTTTGCTTTTGAAGATGTTTCACTTCTCATCCTTTTTCTTCAACAACCCTCTAAAAGGATGCAAATGACCAGCTGCCTGCAAGGAATATAAATCCTTTCCTTCCCTACCATCCTGTCAGAGCTGAAGAAGCTTCTTGGATGAGAAGCGAAACGTCTTCAAAAGCAAAAACAAAAAAGTCCAGTTGCCTCCTGAAAAAGCACCTTCAGGACAACCATGACATGGATGACTGAGAATCTCTACAGACATCTTACAATCAGAGATTTAAAATTGAGGAAGTTGCCCCAATGACACCAGGGAATTGGAAAAAAAATGTTTAATTATGAGAGACAACACTAGAGAAATAGTTGTCCATACACACAGCGTAGAAGAAAGGAAAATACAACAAAAAAACAGGCCCACTGTTTTGACAGCAAAACTCCTTTTAGCAAAAAATCTGAAACATCACAGAGAAAGGTGGGAGGGGAAAATGGGATAAGAGACAACATTTCTACTACAGCGTAACCATCATTGGGAAACCAGTGGGGGGCATGGGTGGGTGGGCTGATGGTAGGTTTAGAAAAGGAAGGAACTGGGATAAATGGAAAGGGGGAGGGGGGAATACAGATTTTGGCCATGAAATATAAACAGACTATGCTGCTAAAGGAGCCTCTCCGGCCAGCGAGTTGCCCCTGCCTCCACAAAAACCCCTCAAGGTTGGTTCAAGGGCTGGGCTACCAGAAGTCTCGGCGATGATAGGAGTCAGGATCGCAGTACTTGGTCACAACGACCCGGTTTGCAAACTTGCGTCCAGTGAGGCCTTGCATGGCCTTCTGACAGTCAAAGACAGATGTGAACTCCACAAATATCTACAAGAAGAGTGAGGGAATAAAAGAGAAAATAATTCGTGGTACATTTTAAAAAATTGACAAAGGATTCAAATGTGGCCCAGATCATACATATAAGAGAGTGAATAGGAAAATAAACTGAAGCAGCTGTACTTTTATTGTAATTTGATTCTCATGAAATGTTTCTTCCATGCATCTAGTCTAATTTACTTACCATACTAAATTTGTAGATAGCTACCTTTATGAACTGATCACCTTATTCTTAAAGCTACTCAGTTTTACACTTGCTGATTTAAAACAAACAGCACCTAGCCAATGTGTAACAACTAAGCGGGTTCTGATGTGCTTAGTACATGCATGTAAGATCACCAGGAAATACCCAGTGTCTGTGAAGATCCAATACAACTGATGAAGCTTCCATGATAGGAAGCGAAAGGTCTCGTTTTTCCTCAAAAAATCAATTCAGTTGTCTTTTTCAAAATAAAAACCACTTTTGACCAGTCAGAAGCAAATGGCTTACTTAACAAAAACCCCACTGCCTTTTCCATTTACTTTATAGAGATGGGATACCAGAAGTTTCTGCAAAGGCAAAAAACATAAAGCCATTCTTGAACACTAAGCCACTCTTTTAATGAAATCCTATTTGGATCCCCATGATTCAACCTCTTCATTCCGTAGTAGATAGGTTTGTGCTTTAGAGCAGAGCCATCTGATTAAGCCCTTCTATGTCCCATGTATACCTTAGAGCTCATGGAGCCAAATAAGAACAGAAGCATTCTATATTAATTGAGCAATAGCTTCTTCATTTTCTAAAACACCATTCCCATCCTGCCACCCCTACAACCATTACGTACCTTTCCACAGCCAGGCACCTCAACTCCATCAACAGGCCGGGGGATTTCAATGGATTTGACAACACCATACTTGCTACACTCATCCCGGACATCCTCAACAATCTCTTCATATTCCTCATCATCCAGGAGCTCCTCAGGTAATACCATATTCATGAGGCACAGCACCTCAGTTGGATGACCACCCATCTGTACTTGTGAACTCATTAGACCCGGTACCTGTAAGGTCACTGGGGTCTGGTTTATTGTACTCTGGAGGGGCAGCAAGAGAGGAGAGAAAGCCACAGAGGAATTCAGTGACAACCATTTAAATTATCATTTCCAAACACACACCAAAATTCAGTATTTTTTTCTTTACAAGCTTTGATTTTATTTTCTGGAAGAATTCAGAGTATCTGTTTCTTCAATCTCAAAAATACCAAACAGCTACTATAATACTATTTTAAAATCAAGTCCCCAAATCTGAAACTCTGGAAAGTGTTACTTCTCTGTCAACAAAATAGCCAATTTATGTTTATGACTGGTAGAAATAAGCAAAGCAGGCATAACAACTTCTGATTCTCAAAAATGTAGTAACTTTTGGATATATACTATAATTCTTTGGGTACTGATACTGGTTACTTTGGAATTTGGTTTTTTAGATTACCAGAAATCAGCTTCATGCCCTATGCTTCTAATATATGGCTTCAATGCATCAGCTAATCATGCCAGCGCTTATGTCTTTATAAAGACCCTATTTATTTCTACAGGTATTACTATTTCATTTTAGGTTTCAAATTATCCTGGGTCCATGTGCATATCTGGCTAGATAGGTTTAATATAAAAATAAGAATTGGATTCAGAAATAAATGTGATGCAAACATTTTATTATTACAGCTCCTATGTACCAGAAGTACAGAAAATAAAGCCTATGCACTAAAGAGACCTTTATGAAAACTAAAAAGGCCGTTCACCATCTGAACAAAAGTCTTTTAGAATATCATGAAGCTTCCTGGAATACTCATTCAGAAATTAGTGGCAGCAGCTGAAGGGAGGGAGTGAAAGTGCTGGAAAGACAATGGGGACAGTCAAGCCAGCAGGACAGCTGCTCTGGGAGCTTCTGGGTAGAGGAGGAGAGAAAGAAGGCAACACACACCAGCCTTGTCTCTCTCATTTGGATTCTGTTTCGTCTGAAACCCAGAGCCACTAAAGATGTTTTGATATTGCCAAGCCAAGGGTGACATAAAACAGTCACAGCTGTTCCAAATTTGAAGAATTTTCCCTACCTCATGCACATTTATTTTCAGGATAACCTAAAAGGCTTCGGAACCTTGTTGGCTTGATATTGCTTCTTTCTCATTAAGCAAGGCAAGATGCAAGTAGTTCCCCTATGCCTGCAACCACTGGCATTCGATAGTATTGATAAGACCAATCTTCTAACTTTCAGAAACAGAACCTGCAAATACATCCTGGAAAGGTTGTTTTTTGGTACAATTTCTCCCTCATCCCAATCCCTTCCTCACCAGAGTAGCATTCTTGGCTCCCACGCTGGCTCTCTGCACCAATAGTTTCTTGTCGCCCAACTGCATGCCATTCAACCCCGCGATGGCCTGCGAGGGCAAAACAAAAGTGAATCCAGACACTTCAAAACTTGAGCCTCTGAGGCCACCAACCACACACCCCTCTGCCCCAGGCTCTAAACATCCACACATTCATACACAGAAAGTAGCTTCTTTTATGCCCCCTCCCCACCAGATTCCTACCTGAACTGCACTGCTCTTGGATTTAATACCACATTTAGTTATTTACCTGCCGGGCCTCAAAATCAGCATGTTTTTAAAAAATATATCTTGTTGGAAGGGATTAAGATGAGTCAACAAGACTGTCTGCATGAAGGAGAAGAGCAAAGGTGAGATTTCAGCCTCAGCCAAATGTTGCCAACAAAGACAGAAAATTCTAAAAGGATGCAGATGAGACCACATACTTTTCAGAATGAGAATTCCACTGATTTTAGGTTGTCATGCTTTGGGAGTTTACATCTTACCAGTCCAGCCCCAATAAAGAATTTAATATCAGGTTTTACAATACTGAGAATTTGTTTTCCACACAGACCAATTTCAGAAGCAAGATTATGAGGCCAAATCATTTCCCAGCTATAATACAAAAACTGAGGTTTATGAAAGAATGCACATTTCACAGTTATCAGTTAAGTAAAAAGCTGGCAAGCAAATTTACTAATCCTTTTCCACACAGAAGAATCCAGTGGATGAAGGGCTGGTTCAGTCAGGGATGGAGCAAAATACATATGAAACTACAACTTGGCCAAAATAATTCAAGTTATAATCTAGAACTTGTATTCATGACTGTGTAACTTCAAAATATACACGTGGGCACAAATTTTCAGTATCTAATTTTCTCAGAAAATTTTTTCTAGAAACTTGTTTTTAGAGGAAGTAAAAGACACAGAATCAAGAGAGGGAAAAGGACAGTTTTAAAAATGGTTATTATGCCAATGTTTGGTACAATTATATATTTGTCTAGTTAGAATGGGTTGATGCGGCAGTTTCCAATTAGAGGTAGAAGACCTCATTTAAAATCTCATCCAAGGAGACAACTTAATAAACACTTCTTAAAACTGTAGGGGCAAAATGGAAGTTATAACTTGAGCTATACATTTAAGAATCTGGAGTATATAATAAAGTCTAAAGTCTCCTAAAGAATCAAGTATCTCTCGATCAAGTTCTGTATTAGGTTCGCTAAAAATAAACTTTATTTAATAGTTTTTCAGATACTTGCTTCTTCAGAGGATTTCTTGAAGCAAGAGTCTAATTGGGATTATTGGTAGCATTTAATGTAAATGTAACTGAAATTACTTTAAAAAATGTTCTCCATGTAATCAATGTCTTTCTACTGCATTACAAATAGCAAATAGATGGCAACCTTAGAATGATCCATATGCTACACCTATGGCTTTCTTGGGCCCAATGTCTCTCTAGAATTATTTTTACATTTAGGGCATTTATCTTAATATCTAACCAAAAGTAAATTACCTGAGGTTCGAGCAAGCTGTACTGCTTTCTAATATATTATATTATATATATTTTAATATTAAAAAAAAATAGAAAATCCTGTTAGCCTTTTCAAAGCCTGCAACTTGTGGTGTATCATTGAGCTGAACACTTTCACTCCTACTATTAATACAGGGGTTCCCAACCTGGGGTGCGAGATGATATTCCAGGGGGTGTGAAAACTTGGGTTTAGAAGTTTCAAAATCATAGTGTATGTGCATAATTATATACAAATTATATGCATATAATTATTTATTTTTGTAAGGGATGCGAGAACATATCAGAAGCATTCTAGATGTGTGGGGTATAGAAAAGGTTGGGAACCCCTATATTAATACATGGATGATATTCAGTTGTGCATCTCAACAAAGCAAATTAGTTTATCCTGGTGTCTGGAATCTCTGTGGAGAAACATATCAAACTCAATCCCATCAAGGATTGTAGATATTTGGACTCTCCTAGTTCTAGGCATGTTTGATTCTGAATGGGATCACACTATCCCTTTCTGGATTGGTGCACAATATGGGGGTCTTCCTGGATTTGCAATTCCGGTTTAAGGAGCAGGTAGCCACTGTAAGCAGGAAGGTCTTTGCACAAGTTTTGATTCGGATGCACCTGTTTCCGAATCATGAAGCTCTCCTCACAGTCACACATGCCTTGACTACCTAGTGAGTAGACTATTACAGCTTGCACTATACGAGGCTGCTCTTAATGATTAATCATTAAGAAGCTACAAATGGTCCACTCTGCAGTCATGATGGGCAGACATTATGCCCCTATAACAAATCTCTTTGCTTTATGAGCTGGACTGATTATCAGTAAACTCCCTGGTGCAATTCAAGATGCTAGTTATTAACCCTAATGGCATAGGTTGTATCTGAGGGGCCATCCATCTCTTATAGCATCTATTTGTTCTCTATAATCAGATTTGGCTTGCTTTGGGTTCCACTGATCAAGCAAAGTTATTTTGCAGGAAATGAACTTTCAGTTACTGAACCTACCCTTTAGAACAGGATCCCTCCCAAAATTCATACAGCTTTCACCTGACCCACCTTCAAGTGAACTCTAAAACCTTGGCTCTTTTCCCAGGTTAGGGTGTTTGACAGGCCCCTTTGGCCTGGGAATAACACAGAAAATGTATTTTGTATACTTTCTTAGGGCTACTGTTACTCTTTTTGTAATATTGTTGTCTTCTTAATCTATGAAACCCATTTTCGAGGTTGGTGGCCTAGGAAGTTAAGAGAGGTAAATATTCATTGCTCTCAGATTTACAATCTGATTTTGGATCTCATCCAAGATTTTAGCTTTTGCTAAAAACTCATAGCTTTCTCCTTGATGCAGAGAGACCAAAGGAGGGGAAGGGAGAGCATGGGAAAACACACACTTCCCAAGTAGCATGTGGGAAGAAAGACTGTATGGGAGGAAGCAGGTGTGGGGGAGAATATATAAAAAAAAACATGTATCCATAATACTAATAATGGCACTCAATTACAAAGAAACACATGCATAACCCTGATGGAGATCAACCCAAAAACAAGAGCCTATGCTCTGCATGCAAAGTTACCACCGACACGCTCTGAACCTTATTGGGAATTGTGGGGTGTTTCCTCTCCACCACAGGTCCCCCCTCTCCAACGGGGCAAGGGGAATCTGGGGTGCTTTTCCTGTTTTATTGTTAAACTATAAATGTCAGTACTTGCATTTTATAACTCCCACTGGAGTTAGCAAGCATGTCTGCTGGTTACGGGCCTGTTCCTCCTCCCCCCGCTGTAACACAAAGCACAGCGGGAGAAAGGAAACATAGTTATTAGGGGTGCAGAACAGAGAATTTACCGGGGGGTAGGGAAATGGGTGAAATGCACTACGGACCCGGCTCTTCCCTGACTGGTGAGGGGAGGGCTTCTTACCGGCTCTCGGTCGGGCACGGCGGCCAGGGTCTTCGCAAAAAGGCCGAAGCCTTCTCCGACTAACATTCGGGGAGAGTTGTTGTTTTTTTGGGGGGAACAAAAAGCAGAAGTGATCAGAACACTAACTCGATGGTGTCTGCCGCTAAGTCAGCAGCTGTGCTGTAAAGGAGAGAAAAGCTGGCACCCCCTAGAGGGGAGGAGAGAAAAAAACACCCCACCTGCTCAAAGGACAAAGAACCCCCCTCATCCCACGGGAAGATCGGCGGGCCGCTGCAGAGCAAAAATGAAAAGAGGATGAACAAGGGAGGCTGGCCCTACCTGGTCTGTGACATTGATGTCCACATATTCACAGAAGGCATAACCTTTTGACAGGCCAGTGGCACTGTCCTTCACCAGGTTGAAAGCCTTCAGGGGCCCAAAGGAAGTCAGCAACTCCTTGACCTGATGGAGAAAGAAGAAACAATGTCAACAATTGTCATCATATCAAATAATAACCAAATCTTCATAGTCACATGGTATTGTGAAGAATTAAACTAGTTTTTAAAGATTTATCTGGTTTTTGTAAGGTTATTAAAATTAGTAAATACTTCAGAAGGATTTCCCATAAAAGACTGGATAAAACTGGCTATTAATTGGCTTTAATAAAGAATTACACTGAGTATGAAACATGTCCCAGCTGGTTAAAAATTAAGGAGATTGGAGAATGAAACGCTTGCCCACGTTATCCTGAATTGTGTCATATTCCAAGACTGACCTGATCATCATTAAGATAGTTTGGCAGACCCCCAATGAACAGTTTATGAGCAGAATCTGGGACCACTGTGGAAACGACACCTACAAGAAGGAAGCGGGTCGACATGGCAGGAAAATATATGAAATTATCCATACGCTGCATACAACATTGTTAAATTTTCCCCTCCTTGTATATTATATTATCATCATTTTTTTATTCACCAAAAGTCTGATAAACCCACCTGGCACATAAACTGATGGGTTTTCAGACATGCCAGGAAGTGGTTGATAATCATGGGGGCGTCTGATCTTCAATGACTGTCCCTGGAAAATGATCCCATCAAAAGCCATGGCCTGTGTAGTTTCATCCACAGAACGGAACTGGAGCAGAGAAAAGGGGGAGGGAGGGGGGAATGGGGAAAATCAGTGTCATTGTCTCTTAAAAAATATATGGCTGCTACTCAGGACCAAGAAGCAAAATAGGCATCTCTAATTAAATTCTAGGCTTATGAGATTAGATGATCAGTGCCAATTATGAAAATAGTAGACTCTTTACATGTCTTGCAAAATTTACAAGGAATGAAATTCTCACCAATAATCTTCGGGATTGTAGAATACTTAGAATAAGGAAGCTATTATTTTTACACCAAAGGAGACATGCTCTGACTGAAGTGGGGATTTATGCATTTATCCACAAACATAACTAATACCTCATATCTAGCATTTTTTTTCTAACAAACATTTTAGAAGATTACAATTTTTTTCACCATATTCTTGGGCAGATAACTCATATTTAAATGCATATTCATGTTTATCAAGATTAAGGTTCCAAACAATTCAACTTCTTCACCTTTAAGGTTGACAAAACTATTTATTTTCGGGGGGGCAAGAGCGCTGGGTTTGTTTCTACAAGTCATTCATTTCACTTTTTACTTCTACCTCCTGTCCATTAATTCATGACATACAATCTATTTCATGTTAACTTTTTTCCTGTTTGTACAAATTCCATGTTTTAAATGCAAAGGGTAGCATCAGCAAGAGATGCCTTTAATTAGAATAATGAAATAATGAAACAATTTTGCAACACAATTGGAGTGTTCAAATCCCAAATTCTAGAAAACAATGCTATTGAAAGAATTTGTCAACTGAACAAATAAGCAAGGCACTATTTCTAAAATGTCCTGCATCCAATAAAGGTCAATCCCTCTGTCTCCTGGCTTTTCTATTTCATATATTGGAAAAGAATGAATATCTTTTCATCTGGTTTTTCAGCATTTGCCTAAAATACTATTGTAAATGTTTCCTCTCCTACTATCACATTAGTCTATGGAAATCTTTTCTAAAAACTGAATTTAGCCTTTGAATTAAATTTATTAACCTGCAGCAGGCTGAATTAACCTTACACCATCAACCTTACAGTTGTGGCCTAAGATCACAATAAAACATAGACAAAAAAGATAATAGTCTCATATACCGCTTCAGTGCTTTCCAGCCCTCTCTAAGCAGTTTACAGAGTCAGCATATTGCCCCCAACAATTTGGGTCCTCATTTTACCCACCTCGGAAGGATGGAAGGCTGAGTCAACCTTGAGCCTGGTGAGATTTGAACTGCCAAATTACAGGCAGCCGGCAGTCAGCAGAAGCAGCCTGCAGTACTGCACTATAATAACTGCACCACCATGGCTCATATAACTTTTATAGAGCCTTATACACAGCCAAGCTTTAGAACTCACGAATATGGACCAACTGTTATATTTTGAACATTCAATAAGTCTACATGAAACAAACGGTTTTATGCATTTCCTTTGATTTGTCCAGAATCATAATTGTGCGAGTAAATCACTGGTGTTTTAAATCTGTCCTGAGTCACTATAAACTCACCTCCAGAAAAGCAAAGTTCTTATCCTGGTTAATTTGCACAGCCAAGACAGGATTACCGGGAGCCTGAGTAAGGCCACCAAGGCGCATCTGGGCATTGAAGAAATCCATCATTGCTTCCTATTGGAATCACGGAAAGAGATGCAAAGAGTAGATGTATGATACAAGCTGGAATGGCAACCTGGACCACAAATAGATTACAAAACAACATTTCCTACTTGCCTGCTATGATGGTAGCAAACTGTGAAGCTATGAGGATTGCAGTCCCATACATTATTCACTTAAAGAGAAATGGAAAACTCTTTGGTCTTTTTTTTCTTTTTGGTAGGGATAATTAAATAACAAGCAACCATATTTATTTCTCCGGTCATTTAGATTTTAATACATCTCCCTCTATTTGATATAAGCACCACTGAGCTAGTCAGGACTGCAAATAAAATATAATGCTGCCCAGAGTCTAGTGGAGTAGCAGCCATAACAAATTTAATGAAATGAAATAATAATGCCCCATTCCCATATTTGAATGTCTAAACCATAATTCACCGCTTCAGACCAACAATGTTGATCAAATGTAAATATCAACCGTAGAAGACCAATTTAGAAGATGCCCCGAGAAGAGATACTATATTAAACTGAGCATTGAGTCAGTGAGTTGCTCAGTTTAATATAGTATCTCTTCTCGGGGCATCTTTTAAATTTGTCTTCTATGGTTGATATTTACATTTGATCAACATTGTTGGTCTGAATTCCTATCAGTATATCTGGAAGGTACCAGTTCAGGGAAAGCAAAAATTCATTTCATGTGATTCATTGATGAAAAACACCAGAGACAGTACTCCAAAAGTTTGTAACTATCAAATACGAGTCATTAAGATGCCAAGTCATAATATATGGCTGCATTTAACGAGGTTCAGTTGGCTCTTCCAACTTAAACTTTCAATATTCCCTTTGCAACTCCTCAAATTCAATGACAAAATGTCAAATATATAGTTTTGATCCAAAAATGGCAAAATAAGACTGGAAGTGGTAGAATTCCTCTGGGTAGTGAGGCACTCCCATTTCCATTCTTACCCCCATCTCTTTAAAAATAAAAAAGAACAAATACTAGACCAGGCTGCTTTTTCTGGTGGTGTCACTGAAATTGAGCACTTGTTGCAGCCGAAAGTTTCAAGGCTGAGCAGAGATAACAGAATGAGCTAACAAGTACCTCAGTGATTCCAAAAGGGATATTGCCAACATAGAGACGTCGAGCTTGTCGCGTCATTTGACTGCCAACTACAGGCACAGGTGTAGGTGTTACTGCCAGCCCATCTGGAGTCATGGTTGGTAGTAGAGCTGTAGCTGGAATTTGTCCCGCAGCTAGAAATGAAAAAAAAAAAAAGTATATTGAAAGTTACTAGCTCCGATTTTCCTGATAAAAACATTATATTTTGGGAAAGTCTTGATGATATAAATACACAGAATTAAGGATGTGCAAAATGTTCCATTATGAAACATGCCAACCCCAAACAGCCCTATTTTGTGTGTTACAGAAGTGGCTTAAAATAGATCTGTTTTGAAAATAGAGCACTTCCAAAACATTCAGAATAGCTTATTCTGGAGTCAGAACATTTTGAAGAGCCCTAAACAATCTGCGGCAACAGTGAGAATTAAGGTGTTATTAAAACATATATGGAATGGTGAAGAGAAGAAGCAATCCAAATACTTTTCAAAACACTTAATGGGTTAATTTTATTTCATCAGTAAAAAATATCTAGCTATTCACCAGCAAAGACCACAGCTATCTTTTTCCATTATCCACAGTAAACCATCAGCCCAAAATGTACCAGATATAGGAAAAATATTCCCAAATTGAAACAGAACATTCTGACCCCTACACGGATTTTATACAGCTGTTATAAGGTCAAATTGGGGAACTCCTAGGCTGAGTGTTTTCAGTACCATTTATGTCTTTAAAATCATGTGTTCATGTATTTAGTAGATTTTTATCCCACCTTTATTACTTTATAAGAAACTGAAGGCAGCCAAAATACTTAATATTTCTTCCTATTTTCCCAACAACCGTGTGAGGTGGGTTGGGTTGAGAGTGAATGATCCAAAATCATCCAGTCAGCTTTCATGCCTAAGGTAGGATTAGAACTCAAGTTTTCTGATTTCCAGGTCAGCACCTTAACCATATCAAACTAGTTCACTCATGCTCCCTGCCTCTCCCTTCTAAGCAGCATAGCCACAGAGCTGCCAATCTGGATTTAAGATTAATAATATTACACAGCTCTGCTGCTGAAAAAACAGCAGCCAAAAATAAATATGGATTTGGTCTATCATTAGTAAAAGCTAGATGTTCTGTCACATAAACCACAGAACAACCTCTAGGTTAAGCTTTGTGGTTAATAAAATCCAGTAGTTTTAAATCCAGTTAAAAACGTGCTTGTTCTTAAATCACAATTAATTTTGTGGCTATGACTTGCAGGAAGTAGCAGATATGTCTTCAATTTAATAGGATTTACAGTTTGACATACCATTTTAGCTCCTATGCACACTTGTGGGATTATGGCACATAGGTACATTTCAGAAATAATATATTAGACATGATTGTTCACCCAGGCAAGGACAACTGATGTCCTTTTCCTTTTTCCTTGTTCCCATCCAAGTTTATTTTGCTTGCCATCTCAGTTCTTCTGTTTTCTACAGTTTCAGTATTTCTAGTTTTTAAATCTTTTTAACAATTTACAAACTGTCCAGAGTTGCTGATAGCCAGGCAGCTTATCAATGTAATCAATTATTACCCCCATTTTAAATTCTCATTATGGTATTTTTATGTATGGTTTGTAATATGATGGAAGGGCCATAACTATAATTATTGTAACTCAAGTCACAAACATCCAAAGACTGGCAAAAAGAATATGAGATGGAAAATCTTTACCCACCAATGGGTAAAGATTGACTATAATGACTATATTGATAGTCAAATCCATGGATGTTAACTCAACAGCAAGTCTTACAGAGACTGGTGAGACGTGTTTTGAGGAGACATAGATGAGATACTAGGGGAAGCTACTCAAGGTGGATGTGCAATAATCCAACTGGTTAGTAGGGCCATTTATTCTCTATTTACTGACCTACACATGATTCAAACTGCTATGGAAGGGACAAAAATCTGTTACGAGAGAGAGAGAGATTGAATCAAGGTGACTTAAGCAAAGAGGAGCCTACCCTGCATGGCTTTATACTGCATGGGTGTAATGTGCTCAAAACCTGGAGGAGGGACATCCCAATACTTGCGGATTTTCTTCTTCTTCTCATGCCGAGGAGAACGGCTATAGTAGGGATCAAGAGTAAAAGGTTAGTTGGAAGAAAGAAAAAAAAACATATTTAATTTACTGTAGTTTTAAAATTAAGATGAATTCCTACTTAAGTCTATGTTTATTCCCATTGGGATATTTCTTAATATCCAGGGCCAATGTTTATAATGCAACAATCCCTACACTGAATTCCGATTCCTGCATTGTTTCCCTTAATTTTAGGGTTTGTTTTTTTTAGTGAAGCCTCCTATGGCTTTTCGTTGCCCCTGCCAGCACCAGGAAGAACTGCCAATGCTCACCTTAGAGGACCTGACAGGCTTAGAGGAGATCTGAAAAACAAAAATGAAATGGGTTTGTGTCCTTTCCTATTTAAAGCAATCCCAGAAAAACATTCATAGATATTTAATAACAATGATTAATTTAATAACATTGTCAATCTTGCATCCATGAGCAGAGGTGCAACCTAGGTACACAAATGAGCAGTCTAAGTCATGGTGGCACAGTGGTTAGAGTGCAGTACTGCAGGCTACTTCTTCCGACTGCTGTCTGTCTGCAATTTGGCAGTTCAAATCTCACCAGGTTCAAGGCTGACTCAGCCTTCCATTCTTCCAAGGTGGGTAAAATGAGGACCCAAATTGTTGGAGGCAATATGCTGACTCTGTAAACCGCTTAGAGAGGGCTGTAAAGCACTGTAAAGCACTTATAAGTGCCATTGCTAAGAAAAGACGTTCCAGAAAGAACTTTATTCATTTATTATTGTGGCATATAACATTTCTAACTGGATTTAAAAAGTGCCCAGGCACAAATACCTAAGTCATGTGTATTCATCACTAAGGACATTGGATGCCAGATATTAATCAGTAAAGAGAAGAGTGTTTTGATTATCAATAATCAAACCGCAGTGGCGCAGTGGTTAGAATGCAGTACTGCAGGGTACTTTTGCTGCCTGCCAGCTGCCTGCAATTTAACAGATCCAATCTCATCAGGTTCACGGTTGACTTAGCCTTCCATCCTTCCAAGGTTAGTAAAATAAGGTTCCAGATTGTTGGGGGCAATATGTTGACTCTGTAAACTGCTTAGAGAGGGCTGTAAAAGCACTGTGAAGCAGTAGAAGTCTAAGTGCTATTGCTAATAATGATAATATTCCAGGGTTTTAAAACAGATTAATAAAGCTGTTTCAATCACATACAACATAACAGAATTGCAAGGGACCTTGTAGGTCATCTTATATGTCATATATAAGGTAAAGATGCAGCAAAAGACTACAATAGTCCTGCTGGCCAAGGAAACAGAAATTTAAAACAAGGAAGAGAAAATTAGAAATGTAATTGTAAAGCAGTTTGTTAGGCTTTCAATCCCACATTTTACAAAAAATTCTTAATTTCCCAACTCACCCAATATGCAGAGGCAAAACAGTTGGCAACACTAGAAAGGATACAGGACATAAGAGCATACTGCCTACATGCAATTTCAGCATGTTCTCATATACCTCTGATGTAACTACTTTCATTTTGGCGATCCTTGAACACACTTTCCTAACAAATTTAGTTTCAGCAGAATAACTGAATAATCATTAATTTCCAATTATAATTAATAGCTCTACTTGCCAAAATTACAAAAATTATTGACTTTTGGTCTTTAGTAATCTGATTAAACAATATTATTATTCTTGTCTCAAACAATGTAAAAAAATCTGTTTCTGTAAATTTAGTTTTTAGAAAAATTGCTATTCTGCATAATTCTTGAATGGCAAAAGGATCCATGTTTTGAGGCTTTGCCTAAGATTCTCTACTCGGTATAAAACTATCTTGTTGAGGATCTATACCTGCGCCTCCTGCGATCTCGTGAAACACTGCGCTGATCCCTGTTGCGCCTGTCACGGCTACGACTGCGACGTTTCCTGTCACGACTCCGTGAGCGACTGTGACTGCGTTTACGATGACGATTCTCTTTATCACGTTCTAAAGGCAACAGGATAGAACACAATGAGCCATCCAGCTGTTGCTTCGGAACAGAGAACATATCTCTGGTTGCCGCAAACCATTTCATTTCCCTAAAACAGTGAGCTGGTGTTTTTTTGGCTTTCAAAGGAGAATATTGAAGAAAATAAACATTGCCAAGAAGAAATTGATACCATGATTGGATCATGTCTGTTGTATAACCATCTGGAATTATCTTAATTGCCCCTGGAAAATGGCAACAACAAATGGATCAAAAGGGAGAAATAGAGACAAGATTGTTTTAGAATTTCTCAACATTAATACAGCACACAACTATCTTAAAGTTTATCTCCACATCGAGCAAGCAGAATGTTTGTATAGTGCAATTTGGAAACCTTTGATGCATACCTTGAGACACATAAAATTATTTTCCATGAGATTTTTGCAACATATTCCCAAGAAGCAAAAAAAATGAGGTAATCTAAATAAAATATGGTGTCAACAATTTAATTAATTTCTTTAAAAATCAAAACCAAGTAGTCTGTTTTCTATTTTAAAAACACTGAGGAAAATCTGAGCATAATTCTGCCCAGATTTTTGAGACTTCTAGATACGAACACTACATAAAAAAACAAAGTAAAACATGAGGAAAAGTGCATCAAATGATATGCTGTCTGCTTCTAAAATATAGCAATAGCTATAATTGCAAGAATGCAGGATGTTATTTGACAAAACTAACACAGCATTCTAATAGTTCTGAACTACTACAAGATCTACTATAGGATATGGAACTGAATTAGATACAAAACAATAGATCTTAAACAAAGAACTGTTTTGGAGACTGGAGAACACTGATGCAGCTGTGCTGGACACAAACAATGTTTTATAACAAGAACATTATTTGTGTGGCTAATGAGACTGTTTTAAGATTCATTGGTAACAAGTATACAGTATAGAAATTTCTATGTTGAAAACATTCATGCAAACCAGAAAGATCTAATGGAAGTGAAAACAGGGAAGCTTCAATTTTAACTAAGGATCTTTAAACAACATTATTTTTAAAAGAACAATATGCCTTATCTTCTATTTCTAGATATTAGTCATATAATCCAAACTACCAGTAGGTCCAGTGTTATCATTAGACCTGCAGTACTAAACATTCTTATGCCTTGGTTTCACTATCAAGAAAGCTTAAACAAGGACCCAGATTTCTTCCATTTGGTATACCCAAGATATCCAATACAGCCCCCCGTTTTAAAAAATGGGCGAATTTCTAAAAAAACCCATGGATGTTTGTATTTTCAGAAAGGGTGGAACTAATTTATTTCAAAGGAAATCCATTCTGGAGATGGGAGGCAACCTCTGAATTATACTATGGAAAAGTAGAACATGAATAATTTGTATTCTTAGAACTACAGCCTATCTTTTGCTTCACTGCTAGCAAACAGGCAATGGATGACAACAAATTTGGCTTAGGAGCCTGTGAATTATTGTGATTCCCACCAAATGGAAATAGGTATTGTCAGTAGGAAATAAAATCAGGAACAAAGTATTGTAGCCTAATCCAAATATTTTGATAGATACAAGGAAACCCCTACTGCTAAGATATTGTGCAGTGTTTTCTGGAAGAAGCATATACATGTTGTATACAAGAAATCTTCAACTTACAACCATTCATTTAGTGACCATTCCAAGTTTCAGTGCCACTGAAAAAAATGACATATGGCCAATTTTCAATGATATTAACACTCAGAATGGCCATAAATGAATGGGTGTAAGACAAAGGTTACTTGTATACAACGTGTATATCCTTTCAGAAAACACTATATAATATCCTACAGTAGGCTTTCCTTGTATCAATCAAAATATTTGGATTAGGCTACAATCAATGATCTTTGCATTGTCCTGAGGTCATGCGATCACCATTTGTAACCTTCCCAGCCATCTTCCAACAAGCAAAATCAATGGCGGAAGCCAGAATCACTTCACAACTACAGTGATATGCTTAACTGTGGCAAAAAAAAAAAGGTCATAAATGAGGAAAAACTCATTTAACAACTGCCTTAACGGAAATTTTGGCCTCAATTGTAGTCATTAGTCGAGAACTATCTGTATTGTACAATTTTTTTTAAGTTTAAATCTCTGGCATCTCCAACTAAGAGAAGGTACACCCCCCCCCCATCTGAAATCTCCTCAGACCTGGGGATTCAGAGGGGAATCCCCAGAGATTTCTGTTGTGTAAATCAGGTTGGAATTGATATGATATGCTGTGGCTAAGGAAAGCACTGTTATTCTAATTGTGGTAGGACAGCCCCAAGGTGAGGCATGAACTATCCAGTTTATTCCTGGTGCAAAATAATAGTTGTGCCATGGTAGATGCAGTCCCACACATTCAACCCCCTGCTGGGCAAATGTGGGCCTAGTCATGTCGCTAGTCCTCAATTTACAATCCAAAGGTAGGAACTATTTTTTGTTGTAACGTCATATTCTTCGTATAAAACTGGAGAATCTGAAGAAGAGATTGGACAACCCTTTGTCTGAAATGCTACAGCTTCTCCTGCCTGAGCAGGGGGTTGGACTAGAAAACCTCCAGGGTCCCTTCCAACTCTGGGATCCTGTTACAGCGGAGCCGTCAGGCCACATGGCCTTAGCAACGCTGAGAAGCAGCTTCCCCCGGGCGCCTAGGTCTAGGAAGCCAGGCCGCCCAGTCGCTTCCCCCTTCCACCATGGCGCCCGAGGAAAGAGGCCGAGCAGATTTCGCCCAACTTGCAACTAACCAAGCACGCTCCGCGGCTCGCCTTTCTTCCGCCCTGCCCAAGTGCCGGCCTTGACTACCCGCTGCTCGGCTCCAGGAAGGGGAGGGGGCCCACCACGTGCATTCTCCAACTCTGGGGGGGGGGGGAAACCCCCCCCCAAAAAACGGGGGGTTTTTTTTCCCCCCCCCCCCCTCACCTTTCCTTCCCCTCCCCCCTCGCCATTTTTAAACGCACGCCGCGCACTCGGCCGCCAACGGTCTCGGGGCGCGAGGCCTCGCTCCTTCCCCCCCCCCCACCACGAACCACTTCAGACTCGCGCCAAATTAGGCGGAGGGAGGGGGATGGGAAAGAAGAGGCTGCGGCCGGGCGCACGAGGATTCCCAGCCCTTCTCTTAAACGGGGCCAGCCGATGGGCCGCGCCGAAAGCCAGCGGTGTGAAGAAACGGAACGGCCAGCTGTGAAAGGGGAAGAGTTGCCGCCGCCGCCACTTCTTACTTCTTTTTCTGGGGTTGAACCCGGCCGATTTGCTTGCTTACCCTGTTTGTTTTCATTTAGCTGCCGCTCGAATTCGTCGAAGTCCGACATGGCTGGGGAGGAGGACGTCCCTTGATCTGGCCTAGCTACGGTTGCACGGTGGTGGCGCCTGCCAGTCCAGGTCCTCCTCACGCAGTAGGCCTCAACAGCGCCTTCTCTGGGAGTTCGGCAACTTCCGGTGACTGCTTCGGATGTGAACGGAAATTCTCGGCTATCTCCGGAATGCCTTTCGTGAAGCGGCTGGCTTTCCCCGCTCCCTAGTCCCCTGCCCTGCATCATCTCAGAAGCCCACGGGAAAGTCTGCCTCTCTAGGAAAGTTTCGGATTCCTACGGAAAGTCTCGGATGCTCCTTGGAACGTCATTTCCTTCGTCTTAAACCCTTTCTGGCGCCTGACGCACGGCTTTGTATTCCCGCTTAAAACCAAAAAATAAAAAACTATGGCTTCTTAAAAATAAAAGTCTCGAGTATTTCCGCCGGATGTTGCTCGAGTGCTTCTGGGGATTATTATTTTTTTTACAGAGTGCTTGTACGGTGGCTGAGCTTTCGATGTCAACGTACAAAATAGCGGAAGAATGAGAGTAGTTTTTTTTTTTTTTTACCCATTGTTTTCAATTGTGAAATATACTAAACACTGAATAATTTCACATGCTGGGCTTATATAGCATACTGTGGCGTTAAAAAAGACGGAAGATACTTAACGTGTTGCATGGATGCAGCTATATTTGCAGGGCATATTAAATCACACATTCCCCCCACCCCTCCAAATTCGGTGTGTGTCGAGTGTCACGCGAACCCACAAAATATGGTTCGTTCAATAAAGATGGAAATTAAAATGTAGACAATGCACACCTGGTAGATTTTTGTACCAGGTGGCACTGAACTTTTACCAAAATGCTTGCAGTGTAGGAATGTAATTCATAAACAGTATTCTTTCTAGGCCAACTGTTCTAATTTTCCACTTTTTCACAAGGATTCTGCTAATTAATGCTATAGGCAGATAATGGTTTTTATATGAGGGGTCCTTGGTGCTCTCTGACCTTGTTTTCTTGCAGATGTTTCATTACCCTAACTAGGTAACATCATCAGTCCTAGTGGTTTTTATATTTTTGAAGGGGAGCAGACATGTTCCTGAAGCTTGTGAAACCTGGGGTCTTTCCCTGAAAATCTAGCTTAATTTTGTCTACAACACCACCCTGTGCTACTTTATGGTGTATTTTCCTGCATATTTTCTTAAGAGGATTATACTTTCATTCTGCATGTTGAATTTTATCAGCATGAAAGTTTCCCCATTTCTTTATGAATTTTTAGCAAATTCAAAAGTATTACCTATTTCTTTTTTTCTAATGTACCACTTATTTGCAAATTGCCTCTTGAACTTACTATGCTCTCACTTTAAAACATATTTTCTGTCTTTTAGGAAACTTCTAAGTGATATATATTATATACTATTATACACTTTTAAATCCCATTTTTGTACAAATTTAACTGGGAAAATAATTAGTGCTCACATCTTACCAGAGGAAAATCAACTGAACAAGTCCACAACACTCTCGGAGAATGAAGGAAATTGGACTTGTCCACTCTAATAGTTCATACATTTGTTTTCCCAGACTATACATTTGTCCCATTTTGTAATGTGTTATACAAGGTTATGTAAAAAAATACACAGTGCAGAATGTTATATCAAAATGTTCTCTTTAATTTAAATTGCATTTTAATAAAATGCTTAATATTTTCTTTTTAGTTTCTTTTTTTAACACAGAAAAAGCATTGGAGATAAAGAAATTACAGGCACAGTGGGAACAGTTTTCTAATTACACTGAATAAAAAGGAAGCGTCCTCAAGGAATGCATCATATAATTCAAGTCCTTGCATTCAAATACACTTCCTCACTAACATACTGAGAGAAGCAAAAAAAAAGTATAAAATTGCCAGCAGAAAAAACCAGTTGAGAGCTTGGAATAGGACAATAGCTAGGGAAAAGGTTTAAGCAATACCTTCCAAAACTATGAAGTAAAAAATGTGGTAGAGGCTCAGGATGTGAGTATCTTTGGGAGACAATAGGAAAGCAGAGGCAGCCCAATTCTGCAATTCTTCCAATCATAGCAACACTAGAGAAAATGGAATAAAGATAACCACAATAGTGGCAAAAAAGGGAACCAGTACAGTACCAGTAGCACCTGCTAACAGCTCAGAAAACACAGAAAAGGTTTTCAAGCAAGGAGAGGTAAAACTACAAAAGTGCATCATGCAACTTTATCTTCCCTCTTCCACTTTAGAAATGGATAACTTCTGTTGGTTATAGTAATTTGGCTCTCATTGAGGTTCTCCCTCAGGTTACTGTTATTTAACCTATTAATTATGTGGTTGCCCTTAAGGTAAAACCAAATCAGCCTAACTAGCAAGGTTGGGAACATACTGCTGCTGATAGATATTTTTGCAAACATTTACCATCTTGTTATATAATTTGTTTGATATACCCCAAATGACAGAAGTTTATTTTTAAAAATGTGTGGCTTTATATTTTATGTGCAAGGCTATAATTGCCATCAGTTAATAAACTAACAGAGCCACAGTGGTTAGAATGCAGTACTGCAGGCTACTGCTGCTGCCTGCTTGCAATTTGGCAGTTCAAATCTCACCAGGCTCAAGGTTGACTCAGCCTTCCATCCTTCCAAGCAGTGGTGGCTTTCAAAATTTTTTACTACCGGTTCTGTGGGCGTGGCTTGGTGGGCGTGGTGTGGTGTGGTTTGCTGAGCATGGCAGGGGAAGGATACTGTAAAATCTCCATCCCCACCCCACTCCAGGGGAAAGTTACTGCAAAATCCCCATTTCCTTCTGATCAGCTGGGACTTGGGAGGTAGAGAATAGATGGTGGCGGGGCCAGTCAGAATTTTTACTACCGGTTCTCCAAACTACTCATAATTCCCGCTACCGGTTCTTTAGAACTGGTCAGAACCTGCTGAAACCCATCTCTGCTTCCGAGGTTGGTAAAATGAGGTCTCAGATTGTTGGGGGCAATATGCTGACTCTGTAAACCACTTAGGGCTGTAAAACACTGTGAGGGGATACATAAGTCTAAATGCTAATGCTAACATAGTTGTTTCAAGTTACTTGTGCAACAATTAAAACCAATCAATCTATCCATGATGTTATTGTTTGTGGGATGGGACTTATTATGGCTGCCAACTCCTCCTTTGCCATTGTTTATCCTCTGGCCAAACTCCCAGGTGGAAGGAGGGAGAATGAAAACAATCCTGTAGCTGTGGGGAAGCCTTTAAAGAGGGAAGCATAGATGAGCAGATCTATAGTCAAGTAATAATCCTAGGAAGCCACTCCCAGATCCTTTTTGTAAACTGGCCCTTCCTGTGAAATGGTGGATTCATTCAGTATTTAAACCTAGGAAAAGGTGGGAAGTTGTTATGCATCATGGTGGAAAACTCAAGGAAACACTGTGAGAGTGGTGAGTAATGGAGGGGGCAGGAGGTACAGAGAAAGAGCTCAAAGGACTGGCAACATAGGTTCTAGCAGTAACTGCAGGAGAGGATTCATCGCTTGTAGCATTCAGCAATTGGCAGAAGTTGCTTGGGTGGCGCAGCAGGAGAAGGGACAGAGTTGCCAGCAGCTGAGCCAGGAGAGTCTGCTTTTGTCTTGAAGCGGTAAGTGATGGGCAGTAGAAGCTTGCTTTTCTTGAGAGCCTGGACTTTCTTGAGTGTCTCATCGTCTAGCGCCATGAAACATCGTCGGGAATATTCAAGCAGACGCTCCTTAGATGGGTCAAACTCACCCACTTCAGCCAATTTTTCAGGAGCAACAATAAGGAGCTCTGCTATGGGGGTGGTCAAGGCCACAGTGTTACGGTCCACCCGATGGTGTTCAAAGGCCCGACTCATGCTTTGCATCTTCTGAAAAGTGTACAGGATCTTCTTATACCGGCAGAGGACTCCATCCACATCCTTGACTGTATGGTGAGTTTGGGTTCAGGTGGAAAATACCATGGAGGATAGAGACAAACAGCAGTGTAATTGAGCAGCAAAATGCAGAAAGAGAAGAGCAGCACCTCGTGAACACCAGACCTCATGAAAGCCAAGATGAAAGAAATGAAAAATTGCCATTAAGGCAAGAAAGCAACAGGATGGAGAAGCAGATAAGGACATGAGGTGGAAGGGTTATAATAGGCCGTATACATCAGCAGGACAGGCAAGGCAAAGGGCAGAAAATAAATCAGGGATCAGATTGAAAACAAAAACATTTGTAGTTGAAAATGTCCATAGATATGAAAAGACAAAGACAGGGACAGAGAAGATACGTTGCAAAAAGAAGGAAAGAAAAGTCAAGCAGGAAGCATATATCACAATTGTCAAGATCAGAAATAATAGGAAATAAGATGGTGAGTAGTTTAGGGATGGATCAAAATAGAGGGAAGGGAAGGGCAAGATGAGGGTCGAGAGAGCAGAGAAGAACAGATTATATCTGTTTACCAAGAGGCTTTGATGTGAGAAGATTTGAAAAAACTAAATCAAAAATCCCTGTTTCTATACATCTTAACAAGGTATCTCTTACAAACATTTTAATGAAAGCTCCCACAATACCTGGCACTGCCCATACTGGTTGGGGCTGTGAAGAATGGAAAATGTTTCAGATGCTCGGTTGGCCAACCTTGCAATACTGTAGAGCAGGACTGTCAAACTTGTGGCCTACAGCCCGGATGCATCAGGCACTGGCCAGAGCCATGCCCGGTTTAGCAAAGGGGAAAAAAAATCCTGATACATCACGTGACGACACAAGTTTGACACCCCTTCTGTAGAGATCCTTGTTTTTCACACTCTAGATTCGTGATGGCGAACCTATGGCACACGTGTCACAGGTGAACGCAGAGCCATATCTGTGGGCATGTGAGCATTGCCCTAGCTCAGCTCCAGTGTGCATGTGTGCGCCGGCCAGCTGATTTTCAGGCCTTTTGGGCCCACCAGAAGTCAGGAAATTGTCCGTTTCTGGCCTCCGGATGGTCTCCAGGGGGGTGGGGAAGGCCGTTTCCGCCCTCCCCAGGCTCCTAGAAAGCCTCTGGAGCCTGGGGAGAGCAAAAAACTGGCCTTGCGGGCCCACAGTGCCATCGTGTGCCGAAAGCGGGGTGAGCACGGGGGGGGGGTTTGGCATGTGCATGCACAGGGGGCGAGGCACACTGAATTATGGATATGGGCACATGCACGCATGACCCCCCCGCTTTTGGCACACGACAGGAAAAAAGTTAGCCATCACAACTCTAGATTATCCTTCCTACTTCTTCCTTTCTTTCCTCAAAATAAAAAAGACCTATACTATAATATCATAAAATCTCTGTTATAATACTGTAAAGGTTCAGCTGGATCAAATCAAAATTGTCTATTTCAGGATTTTGTTCCCATAGCAGCTAATGAGATGATTCCAAAAAGCCAAAAATAGGAGAACGCTAAGCTTCACACCTATATATACATATTACCTAGCAACTGATAGTCAGGTGCTTGGTTGCATTTCTGCTGTATATATTTTCTTTTCCAGTATCTCACTGACACTGTATTAGAAAAGCATCTCCCAATGTAGGAAGCAATATTCAAGGACAGTAAAAATTAAGGGGACATTCAAGAACAATCCTATTTCATGTCAAGGTTACAAACATGCTCTTTTGCTGTTTTCAATCTTTCTTTGCAATCATAATTAGGGATATATTTAATGTATTAATTTAAAAAACTCTTCCAATTGTTGCGGGGAAAAGAAGAGGAAGGAGTATTAGGTATGTCAAGTCATTTGCAGAATAATAAGTAAATTATATAAATATATGTTGCAACTTATCTAATATGCTTGTAATTATTACCTTTGTTAATTATAAAGGGAAAATATTGGAATGAATATATGCTCATCTTTCATTTGTCTGCTGGTGGATTTACAATAAAGCAGTTTCTTATTTCCATTTTTATTGTCTTTTCACTTAAATTACATGGAGGTTTTAATTGTATTTATAATGCACCATGTGACACTGTTTACCCAAGTGAAGAGTTCTGCCAGGTATTCATGCTCTAGGCCCGTGATGGCGAATTTATGGCACATGTGCCCAAAATGGCACACGAAACCATGCTGCCTGGCATGTACCCCCTTGCCTGTTTGTCTTCCGGGTTTCTTGCTCTTATAGTTCCAAATAGTTTTTTTGAGATCAAACTGGAAGTGCTACATAGCTTGCAAATTATTATTTTATTATATGGGTAATCCTCAAGTTACAACCACAATTGGGACCAGAGTCTCTGTTGGCTAAGAAAGGTGATTGTTAAGTGCGTCACACCTGATTTTATGACCTTTTTCGCCATGGTTGCTAAGCGAACCACTGTGGTTGTTAAGTGAATCACACAGTCGTTAAGCGAATCCAGCTTCCCCCATTGACTTTGCTTGTCAGAAGCTGGCTGGGAAGGTTTTTATTTATTTATTTATAATTTAATTTATATACCGCCCCCCTCCCGAAGGACTTGGGGCAGTGTACAGCCAATTAAAAACACAAAATACAACCACAGTTTTAAAATAGTTAAAAGTATTAAACAATTTCGGCCAGAATTTAAAACCCAAAATTTAAAAGACCAATTTAAAAATCATTTACATAGATAGCCCTGCCTGGTGGAACAGCAGGGTCTTAAGGGCACAGCGAAACACACGGAGGTCGGAGATCTTGCGTATTTCCGGGGGCAGTTCGTTCCACAGGGCAGGAGCTCCCACAGAGAAGGCCCTTCCCCTGGGTGTCGCCAGCCAGTATAACTTGGCCGATGGCAACCTGAGGAGTCCCTCTCTGTGGGAGTGAATTGGCCGGTGGGAGGCTACTGGTGGCAGAAGTCGGTCTCAAAGGTATCCAGGACCTGAGCCATGGAGCGCTTTAAAGGTGGTAACCAACACCTTGAATCGCACCCGGAAGACCACTGGGAGCCAGTGCAGCTTGCGCAGGAGAGGTGTCACATGGGCGCAACGAGTCGCGCCCATAACCACCCGCGCGGCCGCATTCTGGACCAGCTGGAGGTTCTGAGTGCTCTTCAAGGGGAGTCCCATGTAGAGAGCATTACAGTAGTCCAGCCGGGAGGTGACAAGGGCGTGAGTGACCGTGCGTAAGGTGTCCTGGTCCAAAAAGGGCCGCAACTGGCAGATCAGGCGAACCTGATAGAAAGCCCCCCTGGCCACGGCCATCATATGTTCTTCTAAAGACAGCCGTGCATCCAAGAGGACACCCAGATTGCGAGCCCTCTCTGTGGGGGGTAAAGATTCACCCCCAATAATCAGCGATGGCACTAGCTGACTATATCGGGACACCGGAAGCCACAGCCACTCGGTCTTGGAAGGGTTGAGTCTGAGCCTATTTCTCCCCATCCAGATCCGCACGGCCTCCAGGCAGCGGGACATCACATCAAGGGCATCATTGGGGTGGTCTGGGGTGGAGATGTACAACTGAGTGTCATCAGCGTACTGATGGACTCTCACCCCAAAACCACGGATGATCTTACCCAGCTGCTTCCCATAAATGTTGAACAGAAGGGGCGAGAGGACCGACCCTTGCGGCACCCCCCACGCGAGGCGCCTCGAGATCGACCTCTGCCCCCCTGCCAACACAAACTGCGAACAGTCGGAGAGGAAGGAGAACCACCGAAGCACAGTGCCTCCTATTCCTAACCCCCTCAACCGCTGCAGCATGATACCATGGTCGATGGTATCAAAAGCTGCTGAGAGATCTAATAGGACTAGGACAGAGGAGCAATCCCTGTCCCAAGCCCTCCAGAGATCATACACCAATGCGACCAATGCCGTTTCTGTGCTGTACCCCTGCCTGAAGCCCGACTGGTATGGGTCCAGATAGATAGCTTCATCCAGGTATCGGGAAAGTTGTTGTGCCACCACACTCACAACAACCTTCGCCACAAAGTGAAGGTTAGAGACCGGACGGTAGTTACCTAATATAGCTGGGTCCAGGGATGGCTTCTTGAGGAGGGGCTTCACCACCGCCTCTTTCAAGGCGGTGGGAAAGGTGCCCTCACTCAGAGAAGCATTTATAATCCCCTGGAGCCAGCCTCGTGTGACCTCCCGGGAGGCCAGTACCAACCAGGAGGGACACGGGTCCAATAAACATGTGGCAGCACTAATCCTCCCCAGAATCCTGTCCACGTCCTCAGGAGCCACAGGATCAAACTCTTCCCAGATAATATTCTCAAGACCTACCCCCGTCTCCTCCCCTGGATTCACCGAGTCAGAGTCCAAGCCTTCCTGAATCTGAGCGACTTTATCATGCAGGAATTGCACAAAATCCTCAGCTCGACCCTGCAAGGGATCTTCCCGCACTCCCCCCGAAGAAGGGAGTGGGTCACCCTGAACATAGCAGCTGGGCGGTTGCAAATGGCGGTGACATAACCCCAGGTCATTGCAACTGTTGTAAATACACGCCAATTGCCAAGTGCCTGAATTTTGATCACGTGACAATGGGGCTGCTACATGGTATGACAGTTATAAGTATGAGGACCAGTCATATGTCGTCACTTCAAATGATCTCTAAATGAATGATCATAAGTCGAGGACTATCTGTACAGTAGAATAACATATTATAAATATAACATACAATACTATAACTCAGTGTTGCTCAGTCTTTGTATGTTGGCTGGGGGATTCTGTGAGTTCACATAGATGCATCATAAAATTGATAAGGTTGAGAGACAATACTATAACTTTTAATGCCAAACCTTTGCAGCCTCAGTACTTACCTCTTTGCCTCTCCCGGATTTTAGGTTTGGCAAAGCGTCGCCGGTTTAACCCTGCCTTGAGTTTCTTGTGTTCCACAGAACCTCCTTCTTCAGGACTGGTGGCCATGCAGGAGCCCATGCTGTCATCATCCGTCATGTCCCCATTTCGGCCCTCCAATATCTCCAATCTCCGGGGCAGTTGTTTGTTGCAGCAGTGATCATCTAGTTTGGAAGAGTGAAAGGCTAAGTGAATCGCAGCTGGCCAGGGAGATGGGAAACTCAAGAGCACTCACCTGGGTTATCCGGCTCAATTTCCTCCAAATCACAAACGTGTGATACCATATACTACATAGGGATAATAATCAGCCTATGGTTCTCCAAGCGCAGCTAAATTCAACGTCTATCAACTCCAATCAGAACTGCTCCTGATTGGACTACAATGCACATGATCCCCATTATCTAGAGCAGTGTTTCTTAGCCTTGGTGGCTTGAAGATGTGTGGACCTCAACATCTTGAATTCCCCAACCAGTCTCATGCCTACTTCAATGGTCAATCCCTATCCTAAATTGTTCCTCCCCCTTTCTCTTAAGAGCCAAAGTGTCTTGGCACTCATCCTCCACTCCTCATTTTATTTCTAGATTATTATTCTTTCCAATAAAGTGTTTTCCACTAGTCCAGCAAAACCACTCCACTAGCCTCCAGAACGTTTACCAGCATCCAGGCGGGCTGAAGAGATGAATTTGTCTAGCTGGCAGCGCAAAAAATCTCGTTCTTCTTCCAGATCTTCAATTCTCTTCTGCAGCCAAGAGTTCCTTTCCAATGCCATATGTAACTGGGTCTTCATATTGGTCACCAAAGTCAATGAAGGAGCTGGCCTCTCTGAAACACCCAAGACACAACCAAAGGTGTAACACAGGGCTCCATTCATACAACAGGCTGAACTGGGTTTGTGCAAAGCTGTAGGTTAGGCTGAAACAGTTTGGCAGTCTAGGGCAGTCTACAGTGTCTTGTAGGGATATCCAATCATTCTCTTAGAATGCACTGTGAATCAGGCCACCAGGTTTAGCCATGATGTGGCTGATTTGTTTGGGTATAATACGGGGGTGCTTAAAGTTTGTGAGCGCTGTTGAATGTTCAATATTTCTGCATAAATGTGATCAGAAATGTGGTCTGCACATATGTCCTAAAACTAGAGAGACCTCAATTAAACAAAGAGTCAAAAACATGCTACTTGTCCATTTATTAATGAGGATAATGATTCAAAGCTATTTTTCCACAATTTAATGAAATACAGAATTAACATAGGCAGTCTGCAGAGATTCCCTGACTGTTCCTGCTAAAAAAAAAACAAAAAAACCCCTTCCTTGTAACATATCAGATAAAAGCAGTGTTTGCCTAATACACTGAATCACAAAATAGCAAACCACACTGCAGCTTAGTCTGTTGTGCAAATTTCTACCTAGAAAACACGTGCTCTCCTAGGAAACTACAGTCTCTCGCAGCTACAAGGATTATGTAGAACAACACTCCCTCCCCATTCCCCAGGTTTATAGAAATTTATTAAGGCTATGCATTACTAGTCCTTGGTTAACAACAATGTAACAACTAGCCTTTGGTTAACAACCATCAGTAAGCAATGCAGTCATTAAGCAAGGCATTACATGACCGCGACAGATTTACAATTTCATTTTGCTAAGGCCACTAAGCAAACCATCGCAGATTGTTGAGCAAGATCGCTATTTGTGATTTTACTACCAGCTTCTCTGTTGACTCTGCTTGTTGGAAGCTGACTGTGAAATGCGCAAATGGCATCACCACAGGATGCCACAATGGTCATAAAAGCCTGCCAGTTGCAAAGCATATGAATCTCAACCACACAACCATGAGGACACTACAACAGTCATAAGTGTGGAGGACCAGTTATTTTTTCAGCATCGACATAACTTTGGATGGTCACTAAACAGGACATTGTTACTATCTGTACTTGGGTTCGGACTAAGAAAAAAACACCACTTCTAACTGCAAATAAGTGCTATCTTTGTGCCTTCACTCGCCCCCACAGCACTTTCTGGAGAAAGAATCCTTCATGCTATGCAGCCTTGGTTCCAAGATACCCCAAGTACCCTTTTCTACTGCAGTTTCCCTGATGGTGACGGTGTAATTTTTCTTAGCAATTTTCCAGTCTTGGCATAATCAGGGAGGAAACAGAAGAGCATTTTCCCGTTCCCAGTGGCTGAAATGGGTTGCCTTGAGGTCCTCTGCCTATGTCGTCCAAGACACAGTTAAAGGATGTTTATTTGCTTATAAGGGGAAGGTGACATTGTTTCTTACCATCAAAATTTTCCAGGGTGCTCAAACCATAGTATAACTGTTGCTGAGTTTGTGTCTGGGACTCCATTTGGCATGGCTCATCCAAAGGTAAGGGTAGTTCACAAGTTTCATTATTCTCTTTCACTGTAAACATAAATATTGGGGGAGGGGAAGAAATGTAAGAAACTTGGAATACACAAGGTTCAACATGCTAAGCCATGACTTGTTCAACTATAGTCTACTCAATATATCACATGGGAATTGATTTACATATTATTTCAGGCAACAGTAGATACATCTCAATAATAGGTTCACATAACTCTCAAGCCAAGCAAATAATACTATGGCTTAGCAAGGGGGTTAAACTTCAGCACAATTTTGTTTGAATAGAACATGGATAGTTCATGAAATCCTAAGCAGAGGCAAACAAAAATATTCTTGGTTAAAAACTTTCACTAGCAGCTAAATAAAAGAGACAGTTCCACTGGCAAGAAAATAAACACAACTGTGTAATAACAATTCATGTTTATGAGCAAATTATGAGGAAACTATGTGGAAATGGTGGTACTTTATCACTTCAATCTTTTTAGCTCTACAGCATGACGATGATTTGAGATTCTATCACAAAAGGAAAGAATTGTCATTATACAGATGCTATTTCTAAAATCTTTAAATTCAGAAAGACTCCTGATCAGAAATCTTTTGATATTCCTTGCAAGATGTATGAAATGGGTTCCCCTACGGATGCCCATTTCTCAAAAAAAAAAAAAAACTTAGGGCTGGGTTCCTTTATTATGCTAAGTCATAAAGCCTCTTTTCCAAGCCAGAGGGGCCGATTCCTACATGTAGCTTATAAATGATAGTTTGTGGGTTAGGGGATGAGAATCCAGCCATCTGTAGTTTACCTTAATGATTATTAAGCAAATCATGGCTCATCATGATTAAGGAATGCAAACAATATTCTTACTAGGAACTCCATAGGTTCTGAGCATACACAGAAGCCAGAAATTGGCTTATCTGGATTTGATTTAGTACAGCATATGAACAGTGGGTTCGATTCAGATTTTCATCTTGATTTCAGTAAAATGCAAAGCTAGCTAACATGTGTCTGTCTCCATGATTACTCAATGATTACAAGGACTTTGCCTCAATCCCGGGACAATCCACCTCATGCCCAGCCAATATACACACCTTGCTTTGCTCCAACTCCGCAGCAACCCCTACCTATACCTGCTCGCTGGTGTTGATTACTTTCATTCATCGTCCCCTCTCCCCGAGTGAGATGAGTATTTCCAACCTAGAGGACAGGATGGAAGCTATAACTAGGGCTATGGATCACACATCCCTCCTTTCTCCATTCTTAGAAACCTCTGGTCTAGATTTTCCTTCCAAATCAACTCCAGGTCAAGGAGTCTGAAGGTCTCCCTTCAACAAAATTCCTCAGCCATCAAGAAGCCGCTTTCTGGAAATCCTAAATGGTTACCTTTCACAACTGTTGGTCTGACATTTTTAAAAATCAGAACGGCATATACGGGAAGGAAAAATGCATAGACATAAAAATAGCAACGGTGGTAGAGCTTTCATAGAAATAGCACAGAAATAGCAGCAAGGGTAGTACTGAAACAAAGAGGCCTATGCTTCCTTCCGAACAGAGAAACTGTCCCCTAACAGGATGCACATTCCCTAATTCTTCCAACTAATGGAGTTACTAAAATCCAGACTGGAAAATCTGTGGCTTTCCATTTGTTGTTATAGTTCCCATCAACCCTAACCAATTCACATGTTGCTGGGGCCATTAAATGGAGGCCAACATCATCTGCAGAGATTGAATTTTCTGGGTGACTTTGGGCCAACACCAGGAGACCATGAGTTCTAGTCTTGCCTTTGCCATAAAAGCCAGCTGAGTGATTTTTGGAAAAGTCACTCACTCTCATCAAAACCACCTCACATGGTTGTTTTTGTTGTGGGGAAAATAAGAGGCGGAAGGTATATTAGATATGTTCGCCACTATGAGTTATTTATAAATATAATAAAAGCAGGATACAAATAAATAAAAATATAAATTCGATAAACAAACGAACAAACAAAGCAGGCCTCTCCCCTCCCTACCCAAAACCCTTTACAATATTTCTGCTTTATTTTTTTTGGTTTTTACACCATTCCTTCATTAATCTCAAAGCAAGGAGCTCTGTTCACACATACACAATTTCCATTTTAATTTCTCCACCACTGTGTAGGAGAGTTTAGACAATGGTCACCTTTGCACATCATGTTTTCATGGTGTGCTTTATTCTGCTTTGAAGATGAGAGAGGAATCGAACTACTAACTGGCTCAAACTCAGCTTGGGAGTTTTATGCTCAGTGGAGATCTCTTTTGGGGCCTCCTCATTGTCCATTGACTCACTGTGCGACTAGAGTATAACAAAATCTCTACCTCAGTCAGTGTAATAGCTGGGGATCCAATATTCTTCACACAACTCCTTGCTTCCTGGGAATAACTTCAAACAGCTGATTGAAGGAAAAGAGAAATTTAGTAAATTTGGAGAACAATTCTAGAAACTGGTACAGTCTATGACAGGAGAATGACAGCATCTTTCAAAAAAACAATATAGGACCTTTCTAGTACAGGAATTTACTTACACCCAAAAGTAGTATTTAAAAGATGGTGTATCTGAAGCAATTCACTATTCTATGAATGATGGCAGTTTTTCTATAATAGTTTATTCACATATGGAATTTGTTTCTTGAATTTAAAGCCTTAAATGATGAAACTCTGAATATTTTGAGAACAGAACCCAGTCAAAGATCAGTTCAATGCCTCTTTCTCCATTTATAATGTTGTTGATGGAGTGAGTGTTCAGGTTTCCTAAAATATACCATATGATTTAGATTCAAAGCAGGTAGCTGTCTGAAATTAGCCTTTTCTGTAGGGGCAGGGTTGGAGGAAACAGGGATAGCAAATATGCCCTTAAGAAATTTGGCCTCAGCAACAAAAAAATAAAATTAATTAGGGCTGGAAAAGCAATTGTCTGGCAGAAAATATAATTAAATGGGACCAGCAGTTTGATCATTAAGTGAGGTGATTGCAAAACGGAACATCATGATTTTATGATTTTACTTCAGCTTTCCCTATGAATTGCAGACCAGAAAATTATAAATGTAAGGTCTGGTTGCAAAGTTACTTTTTCATCACTGTCATAACTATGAAGAGTATTTAAACAAGGTGGTCATTAAATGAGAACTTCCTGTAAAGGGATTGATTTGTAGGGACCACATGGAAACATCTAATGGTAGTGTAGAAAAGTTTACTTGCTTGTTTGTTTCCCACCTTTATTATTTCTATATTATTATTTTAGTTATCATTATTCTATAAGTATTATTACACTTTTTTCCTCCTATTTTCCTCACAACCACCCTGTGAGGTGGGTTGGGCTGAGGCAGAGTAACTGGCCCAAAGTTATCCAGCTGGCTTTCATGGATAAGGTGGGACTAGAACTCATGGTCTCTCCTGGCCCAGGAACATAAAATAGCTTGCAGAAAAGTAACCAAACACCAAAAATACAAAAAACATAGCCACCATATTTCGAAATCACTTCATTGGTGATTGTAAAAATACACTGGCAATATTGTAAAAATAGATTGCCAGCCAGGCATTAAAAAAAACTGAAAGCCTGGAAATTGGCTTAAAGTTTTACTTGCTTGCCCTAAGGATAGAACAATGTAATGCCATACAATTACCTACCCATTTTGCTATATTTATATAGTCCTTGAAGTCTCAGTCATAGAGGCCAATTTTGCATCACTCATAGAAATGCATGTTGCTTACCGTTCTTTGAGAATGAAGTCCCTAGAGATAAAATTTCACAAAGAGAGAAACCATTTCCTTTCAAAACAAAACAAAAGAAAACAAAATCCTGTGCCTTATACTATCAGGTTGAGCATCAATTTTTATTTAGCCCTTTAATCCAAACCAATTAATAACTAACTGATCAACTGTCTTTCTTCCCATCAAATAACTTGTCACTCGTCAGTATCTTATACCCACACCCTTCTTCTTCTTTGCCAAAAATAAATGGAACCCTATAAACCAGGGGTGAAATGCTCCCGGTTCGGACCGGCTCGGGCAAGTAGGTAGCGATGGTGGCGGGCAGTTCGGAGAACCGGTAGCAAAAATCCCTGCCCCCGCCCCCCATGCCTAGCTGAGCGTGCGATCATCAGAGCCTTTTTTTTCCTTTTAAATGGCTCTGACGATCCCAGCTGAGTTGCCTGCTAATCAGGCAACTCAGCTTGGATCGCCAGAGCCATGTAAAAGAAAAAGTTTCTTTTTCTCTCCCCCACCCTCCCAGCCTCCAGCTTGCTTACCTTAGCTGCTGGTCCCAACGCTGTAATACCTGCAATCCATTACATCAGCAAGCAACTGAATCTCCCTGCCTGCAATCTAACTCATCAGTGAGCAGCTTTATCTGCAACTTTAAGACTTGTGGACTTCAACTCCCAGCAAAGCTGGCTGAGGCATTCTGGGAGTTGAAATCCACAAATCTTAAAGTTGCCAAGGTTGGAGACTCCTGTTCTATTGGGTAAGTTTTTTTCCCCATTGGGAGCTTTAAAAAAATACTTAATTGGGGTTTTTTTTAGTTCTTTTTTTAGACCTAGCCATTTAAAGTTTAGGAAGTTTTAAATTTAGCTGCTTTTATATAAAAATAAAATAAAATAAAATATTATTTGTGCAGCTTTCTGAGATTTAGTTTCTGTAGTGTTTCACTCTAACTACACAAACACACAAAATCTCACAAAACTGTATGTGGAATTTTGTGTGTGTAAAGTGTGAAAGTTGGGTTTTTGGGCTTTTTGTGGCTGTGTGAGGTTCCTGCTTGTTGCAGGGGCCATTTTGGGTCTAGCACAGCTGCTTTTACATTGTGGGTGATCCAGTTGTGTTGTGTTGTGTTGTGTGTGTGTAAAGTGTGAAAGTTATTTTTTTGGGCTTTTTGGGCTGTGTGAGGTTCCTGCTTGTTGCGGGGCCATTTTGGGTCTAGCACAGCTGCTTTTACATTGTGGGTGAGCCAGTTGTGTTGTGTTGTGTTTTGTAGGTTAAAAAAGGGCAAAGAAGTGACATTGACTTGGCCACACCTATCTTACCACCAAGCCCCGCCCTCCCAGTCACCTTACCACCAAGCCCCGCCCACTAATTAAGCCATGCCCACAGAACCGGTAGCAAAAAATTTTAGATTTCACCCCTGCTATAAACTAAACTTTCCCAGTCTGATGCACTCCAGATGGGTTTGTATTCAGCTACTATAATTATGGGAGTGGCTCTAGAGAAAAGCAAGATGGAAAAGGTTATTCCAAACCAGGGGTTTCCAACCTTGGCAATTTTAAGACTTGTGGACTTCAACTCCCAGAATTCCCCAGCCAACATGAGGACCTGATCTGCAATCTAAACAATGGTTCATCTATTATTGAATCTCTACTCTTTCTAATAGAGAACTTAACAAAAAAAAAAGATCTGTGCCTATTGCAAAGATATGTCACATATCTAGAACTGGCTTCCGGCCAAATTATTTCATGCAGAGAAACTCAAGGAGGGTGAAACTGATTTTATTTTTAATTATTGCAATGCAGAGGCGCCTTTTCTTATTTTATTCCAGGAACCAGAAACATCCCTAGGAAGCCAGTCCATCTGCCCACAACTGTCAACACTTATCAACCCAATACACTGTGTATTTATGAATTACAGTTATTTATATCCAATCTTTCTAGATACAAATTCTTCTCAGGTGACTGAGAAGTAAAACACATTTTAGAATCTTCTCTTCCAGGACCAATAGCAACATTCAACAAGGTGTCTCAATTATTCCAACAAAACAGCTGGTGACAGATGGACCCAGAGAGGCCAGAATCATTGAAACAGATAATCCCTGACTTACTACCACAATTCGGTCCAAAATTTCCATTGCTAAGCAAGACAGTTATTAAGTGAGATGGGACTCATTTTACAATTTTTTTGCCACAAGTGTTAAGCAAATCATTGCAATTGTTAGGTGAATCACACAATTGTTAAGCGAATCCAGCTTCTCCCATTGACTTTGCTTGCCAGAAGCCAGTTGTGAAAGCCACAAACAGTGATCATATGATACCAGGATGCTGTAACAATTGTAAATACATGCCAGTTATCAAGCCCCTGCATTTTGTTACCTCAGAAATACTATGATGGTTCTAAGCAATGATAAGGCCCCTTTTTCCTGAGCTGTTGTAAGTTCGAACAGTCACTAAATGAATAGTTGTAAAGTCAAGGACTATCTGTACGTTTATTTCGGGTCTTCTCAGAGAGTGATGTTGGTGATAGATGCCTTGTGGTGAAAGACAAGAGCCCAATGGAGGCAGAAACTTAAGGTCTCTTTTGCCACCTCCTTTCTGTTTTTGCACAGAAAAATCAAACTTTATCATTATTTCCCTACCATTGACAGGGTTCCCATTCTGTGCTAAACTACACCATTATTCTTGGACTCTTGAATGAACCACAGTCACCAGGGTACATGCATATCCTGCAATAAATCAAACCCAGACAGATTATATTATAGTTAAGCACAACATGTGAAGCAACCCAGTCATGGAGCCTATCAACAAACTTCTCAGGTATCACTCTCTATATATAATAGGATCAGGAGCTGAAATCCCAAATAACTGTTAACCCAAGATCCTAATATTTTGACAGTTCTATATTTTTTTTTCTTTGCGTGATGGTTCTGCCATGTCCTAATCCAACTATCAAATTCTGTAATTAATAGCAGGCTTACAATTATATAAGTAGTCCTCATTTAGCAACCACATTAGGACTGGCAACATGGTTGTTAAGTGAAGTGCTTACTAAGTGAAATTGAGACTGTGCTTATGATCTTACTTCAGCTTTCCTTTCCTTTGTTTTCATCACCGTCGTAACTGTGAACAGTCACTAAATGAATAAATCCTTGAATAAGGACCTATGCTTCCATCCTTATATCTTTCTCTTCTCCTTCTCTCTTCCCACTTAATCTAAAACTGGTTTGGATTTATTTTAGTCAGTTTCTGCACTATATTTCAGCCTTCCCAGCCCGATATCTTTAAGATGTGCTGGATATGTGCCTTTTATATGAGTCAGGGAATTGTCCTTCAGCATATCTAGAGGGCATCAGATTGGGGAAGGCTGCTGCATCCAGATTTCCCCTTATTCTTAAATAATCTGTTAATTAAATGTGACCCATTCCGACATTCCCTTTAATAACTCACAACATATTTTGGTTAGTTCTGGTTGGTAGTTAATACTGGGTTATTTTATTTGGGAGCATTGTAAAATGGAGTTATAGATTTGTAAGACTGATCTGAGCATAAAGAAAAGTATAGTACTCTATGCAAATCTTTATAGCACCATAACATCTCAGAAATGTATTTTGGCATGAACCTGCTATTCCCAATCTATTGGCAATCAGCCATTTGCTTGGGATCCATTTCCCTCTGTTTGTGATGCTCAAAGCAAAAAGGAAACCAGGTCCTAGTAGAAGTGGGACTTTCTTTAAAACTTTGAACTTTCCACAATTGAATAGCTACATTCACAATTTATGCTCAGTCCCAGCTTCATAGGTTTTGGTTTAGTAATATTCAAGTCCAATTATTTGTTATGCACTATATTGGCAATGCCTTCACAATTTAAATCATCAACCATCAATGGATATAGATTTAATTGCCATTACAAGTAGTCCTTGATTACAACCATTCATTTAGTGACTATTTGAAGTTACAACAGCATTGAAAAAAGTGTGATCAGTCCTCGCACTTACAACTGTCACAGCACCCGCAAGGTCACACGATCAAAATTTAGGTACTTGGCAACCAGTACCTCTTTATGATGGTTGCAGTATCCAGGGGTTATTGATCACCACTTGCAATATTTCCAGCTGGCTTCTGACAGGCAAAGTCAATGAAGGAAGCCCGATTCACTTACTGACTGCATGATTCACTCAACAATAGGAGTGATTTGCTTAACAGCTACGGCCAAAAAATAGAATCATAGAATTGGGTGTGAGTCACTTAACACTTAACCGGTCTGGTTGGCTTGCTTGCTTAGCAATTGAAATTCTGGTCCCAATTGTGCTCATAAGTCAAGTTAGGTGTAGTGACTTTCAAATTAACACAATCAAAATACATCACTAGTTATTTTTCTATAAGCACTGTAATATTGCTTTGTATTGCTTTATATACACAAAAAATAATAGGATAGAAAGACCCTGAATAAACTAAATTAGGGGATTTTATCTTAACTGACTCCCCTTTCCCAAGCTACCCCTTCCCCATTGCACATGCATTGATGATGTCAATTTAAAAGTCAAAAGCAAGCAATGTCAGGAGGGAAGGCAGTTTTACAGGTGATAGCGTTAACAGACTGGAGTCAGAAAGTTATTTTTCAGCAGCATCTGGGACCTACCCAGGGGACTTGGGGCACACCTGTGAGGAATCTCTAAAGTGCACCCAATTAGTCCAGCCTCTTCTTAAAGGGGGGGGGCTTCGTTAATTCATGCCCCACGTGTCCCCTTCCCTGCTGCCCCTTCCTCCAACTCTGCGTCCCCCATACCAGCAAGAGCATGACGATGCCAATCAAGTGCTCTGGGCGGGCGAATCCATAGCATTTCCCCTCTCATTCCCCCCTCTCCATTAAATCAGGCCTTTGGCAAAGAAAATCCAGAGTCCATTACCACTACTCCAAAATGGCCCCGGCTGTTTGCCCTGCGATGAAGGAGCCCTCTGTTCTTTTCTCAACCCCCCGCCCCACTTCTCCAAATCTCTGGGCTGACGCGCAGCCAGGACTTTGGAGACGCCAAAGGACCTCCGCGCGCCCCCGCCGGTGCGCCCAGGCGCTCGGAGCGCGACAGGTTGGGATGTTCGCCGAACTGGTCTCGAGGGAAGCCCGCCCCGCTTCTTCCAAGCGGAGATGATGCGGGAAAGCGTCGAGGGAAACAGACCCGGCGATTTGGCGACGGGCCGGCCTGCAGCCTGCCAGCCCCCAGCCGCCTGAACTTTCTACCTTCCTCGCCCGGGTGGCCGCATCCACAGCTGAGCATCCCAAGCCGGAGCTTCGGGTGGGCGAGCGGTGCTGAGGCGCTCCTGTAAAGTGCGGCGTGAAGAGGCGGAGCCGAGGAGGAGCAAAACGGCCTTAAGCTGGGAAAGTTGGGGGTGGTGGTGGTGTTGTGCGTAAAACCTAAGCGAGAAACCCAGGCATCTCTACGGCGGTGGCAAAGATCCAGCGCCCGGTTCAGGTCCCTCCGCAAGTGACTCTTGGCATGTGCGAATGAGCCATTAAGAGTAGATTTTCTCACCTTCAGCACTGTATTTTCCGCAGAAGCCGCTTAAACATCCAGCTTGTCAGAAATCAAGACAGGCAGAGTAGGCCAGAAGACTGGCTAAGCATGTGAAGATGCCAATTTCCTCACAGGATCAAGGAAAGGCAAAACTTCTATTTCTGTACAGAAGCAGAAGAGGATGCCTCTGGGTTACATACCCAAGCAGTGCACCAGAAATTAGGCCTAGTTATTTTTATGCAATTTACCACAGAAAACAAGAGGGAATTGCTGATTGGTTACAAAATCACATATTCCCAGAAAGCAAATCCATCACATAAAACCCATAACTGATTAGTAGTAAATCTTACTTCATTATCATATAGGTCGACTATCCTGTGGGTATGATTTTTGCTATGCTAATGATAACTTTGTTCAACTCAGGAGCCTTGTCCAGATGCCTCTAACCACTGCTTTAGCTTAACATGTCACCTTCCTTGATTTCAGTAACAAGATGTCTTAGCTAAGTATCAAGGATCCAATCTGCTTGTCTATATAGTTAGTCTTTGACTAACAACCATTAATTCAGTGACATTCAAAGTTATAATAAAACTTTTAAAAAGTGCTCCTACGACAATTTTTCATACTTACGACTTTTGCAGCTCCCCATGGTCATGTGAATAAAATTTGGATGCTTGGCAACTGGCATGTATTTATGAAGGTTGCAGTGTCCAGGGCAGTGGTGAAATCCAAATTTTTTTACTACCAGTTCTGTGGGCGTGGCTTGGTGGGCGTGGCAGGGGAAGGATACTGCAAAATCTCCACTCCCACCCCACTCCAGGGGAAGGATACTGCAAAATCCCCATTCGCTCCCCACTCCTGGGGGAAGGATATTGAAAAATCTCCATTCCCACCCTACTCGGGGGCCAGCCAGAGGTGATATTTGCCAATTCTCTGAACTACTCAACATTTCCACTACCGGTTCTCCGAACTACTCAAAATTTCTGCTACCGGTTCTCCAGAACCTGCTGGATTTCACCCCTGGTCCAGGGGTCCTGTGATCCCCTTTATTTACAGACCTCTCACATCCTAGACATAAACTGTTTCAACTCCTACCCTCAAAACGATGCTATAGAGCACTGCACACCAGAACAACTAGACACAAGAACAGTTTTTTCCCGAACGCCATCACTCTGCTAAACAACTAATTTCCTCACCACTGTCAAACTAGTTACTAAGTCTGCACTACTATTAATCTTCTCATCATTCCTATCACCCATCTCCTTCCACTAAGGACTGTATGACTGTAATTTTGTTGCTTGTATTCTTACAATTTATATTGATTGTTTCCTAATATGATTTGATTGCTTATTTGTGCCCTATGACCAGAGGTGGGTTTCAGCAGGTTCTGACCAGTTCTGGAGAACCGGTAGCGGAAATTTTGAGTAGTTCGGAGAACCAGCAAATAACACCTCTGACTGGCCGCTCCCTCATCTGTTCTCTGCCTCCCGAGTCCCAGCTGATTGGGAGGAAATGGGATTTTGCAGTAACCTTCCCTTGGAGTCCCACCTTACCATGAAAGTCAACTTTTGGCCAGTCACCCTCTCTCTCAGCCCACCTCACAGGGCTGTTGTTCTAGGGGAAATAGGAAGGTGTGTTAGATGTTTGCCACCTTGAGTTATTTATAAAATAAAGGCAGGATACAATAAATAAAAGGAAAATAACATATAATGATTAAAAGGACAATGCCTATTAAGATAAAACTGAATCCAATGGTTGGGATTCCTAGTAAATAATAATGATTTTAAAAAGTGGTAGAACTTTTTTATGAAAATCAAATCACATTTCCTTCTACTACGTCAATTATTGTGTGCCATCAGTTTGGTGACTGTCACTGACCACACAGATTTGGTCCAGGATAATCTATTCCTAATGTGATCTTTCAAGTCTTCCAAGGGGGCGCCTATCAGCCTTGTAACTAAGTCTACCCACCTTGCTACTGATTGTCCTCTTCTTCTCTTTTCTTTCACCTTTACCGATGTTGGGGCATTCTCCAATGTCACAGGTTCTTTTATCAGTATTCAAAGTCAGTTGGTTCTCAATACCCAGAGGGCCAACACCTAAAAAACCCTTGGTTTTTAGGCAATCCACACGCAAGCACACTACTCACAGTTCCTTCTCACAGGTTTATTATCACTTCTACTACCTATTACTAATACTTAGGCTATTATAATTTGTGAGCCTTATTGCCAAAAAATAGTATTTCTGTCTCTCAGCCCTAGGTTGTTTCCAGTGGGTCTATTACCACAGAGTAACAAAAATCACTACCCCTCCCTCCCACCCAAAATTACTCCAGCACAACACCCCACCACACCCAGCTGCTTTTCTGGGTTTTTATAGCTGCTGGTTGCTGGGCACTTGAGCTGACTGGGAAGAGGTTTTAAAGGGGGTAGAGAACCATCAGCTCAGATAGTCAGTTTCTCACATCCTGAGAGCTAGGTCTTTGCATCATGTGTCTGAAGTAGAATAATTGGAGTCTGGTCATCTGTACCTCAAGTGAGACCTCTGGATTGATTTGACCAGTGATCCATTTGTTTGTTTCTTTGGCTGTTTATGGTATTCTCAGGAATTTTCTCCAACACCAAAATTCAAAAGTTGGCAGTAAAAGAAAACCAGGCCAATAAAGAATACAGTGGCTGGACACCATCAAAGTGACTCCAGCTAGAGCATAGAACAACTCAAAGAAGTAATGCAAGATTGGAAGATGTGGAGAGACCTGGCCCATAGACACACCAAGAATTGGACACAACTGAATAGATAACATCATCATCATCATCATTATCATTACTGGTTTTTAATCCAAGCAGTTACCAAGCCCTAGCCTGCTTTGTTTCCAAAAATAAGATGAGTAATAGAGATTCACAAACCAGCTGAAATCCCCTCCCCTTCCCACATGTTCTGTTTGCACTGTCTCAAGACATGCTCAATATATTTTATTTCACCATGATTTATTGACAAAGCCATAATTGCTAGTTTCCCACACTATGGTAAGCCATAAAGGACATTGTTTACATAATATGCTAAGCCACAGATAAATTACCTTATGGTTAACATGATGCAAGGCCACAGTCACCGTATTCTGAAATCACTTCATTGGTAAGAAGAATGTTACATAGGCTGAGGCATTAGCTCACCCCCAAAGGCCACTGAATCAGGGTGGAGCAAAGCATTTAGCCTGGAAATCGTTTGGGTGGAAGCAAATTCCATTAAAGCAAATAAGTAAAGAAAGTTTATCATAGATCAGGGGTCCCCAGCCCCTGGTCCATGGACTGGCACCAGTCCATGCAAACAACCAAAGCCCCATCTGTGGGATGCAAGCAGCATGCAAAACCATATTCCCTCCGGTCCATGGAAAAACCTCTCCACGGAACTGGTCCCTGGTGCCCAAAAGGTTGGGGGCCTCTGTCATAGGTGACTAAAGGCTGAATGGGGAGGGAGGTAAAACTATCCATTTAGAAATATGTGTTTCTCTTCTCTGTAGGAAGCTAACTAACCAAGCTGCCTTAAAGGCTTTTGCCCTTATGGTGGCTACACAGGTAGTTTAATTACTGAAGAGGAAACAGATTCATAAAAATTGCCTCTAATTGCCTGATAACCATTATTCAAGCTGAAAAAAGGTAGAAAACAGTAAGTTTTTCAGTATGTGACAATGCTGCGATCTGATCATTTTCAGCAATTAAAGTAAATCTATGAACAAAACTATGGTGCCTTCCCTGGAAGTTTGTGATCCTAGGTTATTTTATTTACAACTTTCTATTAAGTCTAATAAATAATAAGCTGAATATGATGCTCTCTAGTTAGATATTTAAACATCTGCAAGCAAACAACCAAGCTCAGAGAGCACCAAGGACTCCATAGTTCAACTCTGAGCTACAAATATTCTTTTCTGTTATTAAGTCTAATATTTAGCAAGTGTAGTGTAGTTGTTATGGTCTAGTACAGGGGTGTCAAACTCACATCGTCATGGCAGCATCATGTGTCGTATTGGGACTTTTTCCCCCTTCACTAAACCGGGTGTGGGTGTGGCGCATCCAGCCCACGGGCCAGGAGTTGGACAACCCTAGTCTAGTACTATAGGTAATCCTCAATTTACGACTAAAATTTCTGTTGCTAAGTAAGACAATTAAGCAATTTTTGCCCTATTTTACAACCTTTCTTGCCACAGTTGTTAAGTGAATTACTGCAGTTGTTAAGTTAGCAACGCTGTTAAGTGAATCTGGCTTTCCTATTGACTTTGCTTGTCAGAAGGTTGCAAAAGGTGATCACGTGACCCAGGGACATGTTATAAATACGAACTAGTTGCCAAGCATCTGAATTTTGATCATGTGACTATGGGGATGCTGCAATGGTTGTAAGTGTGAAAAATAGTCATAAGTCCTAACTTATGAGTGCCCTAATGCCTAACTGTTCAGCTGTTCTAGTCCCAGTCCTAGTTTTAGACTCTAGTTCTAGGTTTTAGTTCTAATTCTAATTCTAGGCTGCATTAAGAGAGGGATAGTTTCAAAATCTCATTAAGTGATAGCACCACTTTATACTGCACAGGTGAGATCACATTTGGAATGCTGCTTTTTGGTCACCACAATACAAAAAAGATGTTGGGACTCTTGAAATAATGCAGAGAAGAGTAACAAAGATGATTAGGGGACTCTTATGCACGCCCCTTACAGACCTTAGGTATGGAGTGAGCTCAAATGTAGACAGTCTTAGGTTAAAATTTTGGGAGTTTTGGGATGAAACCACAGAATCAAGTAGTGCATTCCAGGCATTGACCATTCTGTTGCTGAAGTCATATTTTCTGCAAT